GGAAGTAACTATTATCAACCTATGTGCACCCAATGTCACAGCAAAGGCAGTCCTAGGAGGATAGTTTATAGCCATGAGTGCATATATTAAAAGGACAGAAAGATCTCAAATAAATGGCCTAATGCTACATCTCAAACTGCTAGAAAAACAAGAATAAACAAAACCCAAAACAAGCAGAAGGAGAGAAATAATAAAAATAAGGGCCAAATTACTGAAATAGACACCAAAAAAAAAAAAAAACAAAAACAAAGAATCAGTGAAACAAAAAGCTGGTCCTTTGAAAAAAATAAAAAAGATTGACATGCCTCTGGTAAATCTGACTCAGATGAGGAGGGAAAAGACCCAAATAAGTAAAATCAGAACCAAAAAAGGAAAGAATACAATGAACACCAAGGAAATTCAGGGAATCATCAGAGACTACTTTGAGAACCTATGTTCCAATACATTGGAAAATCTTGATGAAATGAACAAATTTCTAGATACTTATGACCATCCAAAACTGAACCAAGAGGATATTAACCACCTAAAGAGATATATAACACATAATTAAATTGAAGCAGCAATAAAGACTCTCCCAAAAAAAGAAAAGTCCAGGACCTGATGGATTCTCTGCTGAATTCTACCAGACCTTTTAAAGAAGAACTAATACCAACACTCTCTACACTTTTCCACAAAATACAAAGGGAAGTAACACTGCCTAACTCATTCTATGAAGCCAGTATTACACACATCCCAAAACTGGAAAAGGACACATCCAAAAAAGGTGAACTACAGGCCAATCTTCTTAATGAACATCAATGCAAAAATCTTCAATAAGATAATGGCAAACCAAATCCAACAACATATCAGAAAGATCATTCAAAATGATCAAGTTGGCTTTATCCCAGGGATGCAGGGATGGTTTAAATATGCAAATCAACAAGTGTAATACAGCACATTAATAGAAGCAAAGACAAAACCACTTGATCATCTCAATAGATGCAGAAAAAGCCTTTGATAAGATTCAACACCATTTCATGATAAAAGCTCTAAGAAAACTAGGAATAGAAGGAATGTACCTCAACATTGTGAACCCTATATATGACAAACCTATAGCCAATATCATACTTAATGGGGAAAACTAAAACCATTTTCCCCAAAGTCAGGAATGAAACAAGGATGCCCACTCTCCCTATTTCTATTAACAGATTCCTAAAATTCCTATCCAGAGCAATAAGACATGAAGAAGAAGTGAAAGGAACACAAATAGGTAAAGAAATAGTCAAAGTATCCCTATTTGCAGATGACATGATCCTATACCTCAAAGACAAAAAAACTCCTAGACACCATAAACAGTTTCAGCAATGTAGCAGGATACAAAATCAACTTACAAAAATCGGTAGTCTTTCTATATACCAACAATGAACAAATTAAGAAAGAATATAGGAAAACAATTCCATTGACAATAGCCTCAAAAAAAATCAAATACCTAGGAGTAAACTTAACAAAGGATCTAAATGACCTCTACAAGGAGAACTGCAAACCACTGAAGAAAGAGACTGAGGAAGACTACAGAAGATAGAAAGATCTCCCATGCTCATGGATTGGCAGAATCAACATAGTAAAAATGGCTATACTACCAAAAGCAATCTACATGTTCAACAAAATTCCCGTCAAAATCCCAATGACATTTGTCACAGAGACTGAAATATCTACCCTAAAGTTCATTTGGAAACAAAGAAGACCATGAATAGCCAAGGCAATACTGAGCAAAAAAAACAACACTGGAGGTATCACAATACCTGACTTCAAACTATACTACAGAACCATAGCAATAAAAACAGCATAGTACTGGCACAAAAACAGTTATGAAGACCAGTGAAACAGAATAGACGATCCAGATATGAATACATGCAAGTATGCCCCCTTATATTTAACAAACTCGCCAGAAACATACAATGGAGAAAAGACAGCCTCTTCAACAAATGTTGCTATGGAAAAGTGATTACCCATCTGCAGAAACTGAAACTATATCAATGCCTATCACCCTGTACTAGTATCAACTCAAAACAGATTAAGAACCTTAATATCAGACCCAAAACCTTGCAATTAGTATAGGAAACAGCAGGGAATATTTGGAAGCAATAGGTATAGGCAAGAACTTCCTCAGTAGAACTCAAGTGGCCCAGCAACTAAGAGAAAGGATGTATAAATGAGACTACATGAAATTAAAAAGCTCTGCACAACAAAAGAAATGGTCTCTAAATTAAAGAGACCACCCACAGAGTGGGAGAAAATATTTGCTAGCTATACTTCAGACAAAGGACTGATAACCAGAGTATACAGGGAGCTCAAAAAACTAAACTTCCCAAAATCAATGAACCAATAAAGAAGTGGGCAACTGAACTAAACAGAACTTTTTCAAAAGAAGTGCAAATGGCCAAAAGACACATGAAAAAATGCTCACCATCCCTGGACATAAAGGAAATGTCAAAACCACACTAAGATTCCACCTCACTCATGTTAGAATAACTACTATCAAGAACACCACCAACAACAAATGTTGGTGATGATGTGGGGAAAAAGGAACACTCATACACTGCAGGTGGGTATGTAAGCTAGTACAACCACTTTGGAAAACAATATGGAGGCTTCTTAAAAAACCAAACATAGATTTGCCATATGATCCAGCAATCCCACTCCTGGGGATATAACTGAAAGAATGCTACTCAAGTTATAACAAAGTCACCTGCACTTCCATGTTTATTGCAGCACTATTCACAACATCAAAGCTATGGAAACAGCAAGATGTCCGACTACTGATGAATGGATTAAGAAAATGTGGTATTTATACACAATTGCATTTTACTCATCCACAAAGAAGAATGAAATTTTGTCATTGGCAAGTAAATGGATGGAACTGGAGATCATCTTACGTGGTGTTAGCCAGGCTCAGAAGGCCAAAAATCATATATTCTCCCTCATAAAACAAATGCAGTACTACTATGGGACATAGGTCACACACTAAGGGGAGAACACTCACAGGAGTAGTACAGAAAGGGAAGGAAACCTAAAACTTGAATGTGCTTGATGTGCTCACTGTAGAGGAGCCAATATAGTAATTTTAGTCTGGCTGAGACCACTATGGGAAGGGGACTAGGAAGTAGTGAAGAGGTCTGGTAGAGATGAACCAACGTGGGTTGTAACACATACGCATATGGTAACAACACTAGGAATCTCTCTGTATAGCTATCTTTATCTCAAACTATCAAAAACACTATGTCCTTCTTATTATCTCTTATTTTTTCTCTTCAACAAAATCAGAGAACAAGAGGGAGGAACAAATTCTGTCCGGAAAGAGGGGAGGAAAGGAGGTGGCCCAAACAATGCATACACATGTGAGCAAATGTAAAAATGATAAAATAAAAATAACAAATAAATCAATATAACTAGAAATATGTCAACAAATTAAAGAAAAAAATCCCAATATCCACATACCATCTACTAAACCAGACATTAAAGAGATTTTCATAGCTTAAATAAAAAGACCACGCTTTTGATTGGAAAAAATGAGATGAAAAATACCATTGTTCTCACAAATGATGTTGTTGGTACCAGTGGGAGAGGGGTGGAGCTCGTGAAATGGTGAAGGAGGATGAGTATGTTGCAAATACTATCGACACATGTATGTAAATGGAAAAATGATACCCGATGAAACTATTCCAGGAATGAGGAGAGGGGAGAAAATAGTGGAGGAATGCATTCAAGTATGATATATTTGATATATTAAAAGAACTTTTGTAAATGCCACAATGTACCTCCATTTACCACAACAATAAAAAAAAGAAAATATAAATTAAAAAAAATGTTACTGAGGTTTACATGCAAACATCATTTTCATTTAAAATAAGTTAACAAGTATCTTTTAAAGTTTCTCAGTCTCAGTTTCAAACACAATACACAACAATGGATATAATCTAACAAACTAAAGTTGTTTGAGGTCCTCAAATGTTTAAAATGAAAAGTTCCTAAGATGTAATGATGAAAATAGCTGGATCATCTAGAATGCAGGCCAAGTGTAGGCTGCACTTGCTCTACTACAGACTGTACTAGGTGTCTCCAAGCTCAGCACTGAGACATCCCAAATCCTGTCCCCAGCACTCTTCTCTGCTAGTGGCGTCCTCATGACATATATTCTACCTCTGTCTTCCTCCTTTGCTCATTCCTGCCCCTTTAAGTGCTTCCTGCCCATCCACCTAGCCACAGGTCAGGTGTCCCTCTTAGACCTCTCAACAACTCCAATTCTACCCCTCAGAGAGTGAAGAGATATTGGTCTTCCGCATTGACTTAGTATCTTAACTTTTTTTTTTTCAGACTGGCTTACCACATTAACTGGACTTAGCTTCTTCTCCTGCTCCTGTCACTGATTCACGCAAGTGATTCTCTGCCAACCCTGAAATAATCCTGCAGCCTCCAGACAGCAGAAATGCCATAGGTTCTCACTATCAGATTGCTTCTGAGACCAGAGTGGGTAAAATACTGCTTAAGTTTGTGATATGTGAATTAAAGTACAGAGACTGGATTTCAGACTCTGGAGGAGGTTGGGAGAGTGAAGAAAAACAGCAGAAATCTCACAGTCATTTTCTGACTTTTCAAAATATCATTAAATGCAAATACTTACTATTCCTTTGTAAATACTCAGATATTTAAATATATATATATTTAATATCATTTCATATTTTCTAAACAAGAGGCAAAAGAAATATACTATCTACTTAATACTTCCTCCCATATTTTAGACACTCTTACTATTTATTTTCAAGCTCAATGCCCATTTTAAAAGTATCAATCTTTTTGAAATTCTAAGGTTTATGAAAGGATTACTGTGAAGATGCTGATTTTATGCTCCTATTAAAATACCCAGTGTCTGCAACATGACATTGGATCTAACAGAAAGAAATTAAAATCATTCTTGCTTTCACACTGCTTATAGAATTGGTTACTAGTTGAAAACTCCTTACCTATTCCCGAGGCTGGTGTGAAGGTATGAATTCCATTAATAGGAGCAAAATCCAGGGATTGAAAATATCTGAAAGAAGACTGTCCCATTTCCCAGATGAAAATATCAGTTAAATTCTGATGTCCTACAATAATGAAATGAAAAATCAAATCTTAAGGGAAAAGTTAAATGAAAGAAAATGACAAAATTGCACAATAAAACTATAATAAACTATTAGGTTTAAGAAATAAATTTTTCCGGAATCCATTTTATTTTTAAAAAACACAACATAGAAGGAAATGCTGTAAAAGACTTTTTGCATTCATCACATGAAGTATATACATAGTCATTAACTATGATCTAATGCTAAAAAAGAATAGAGACAAAATGTTTCACTTTTTACGGATATTGGAATTTTATCTATGAACAGTGTAAAAAGCATATCCTTACTTAGAGACCATTTTGAGCCAGTCTTACCAAAACTTGTTAAATACTATTCATTAATCCATAAATTATCCATTTACCCCAAACATATTCAAATAAAAATCTCCCTGTTTGCACTTTAGGTATAAAATCTTCATAGATCTTTTCACTATCTGCCTACACCTAGTTTGACTTTAATATAACTCTAAAGTGGTTGCTCAGAACACCACAATCCTGCAGGTATAATGCTTAATATTTCTTTAAAATGCATTTATAACTGAGCTAATACTTATTCATCAAGAAACTGTACATTAGTACAAAATTATGGGAACATTTTCACATAAAACATACAACATGAATGTCAGATGATTTTTGTAATAACTATGTATGCATTAAAAACACTATCTTCTCACCTAGATGGATATTTTGGCAAAATTAAGTAAGTATCATCGCCAGAAGACAAAGCTTCAACTTGTGTTGTCCCACTGACCGGCACCTCTTGAAAATTAATAAACCCACTGCCAGACCACTTGAATAAAAGGGCATAGAAACTGGGATTAGCCTGAGAAATGGCTAAGAACATAGAACCACTTCTGCTGAACAAGGCCATGGTCAGTACACCTCGGACAGGGAGCGTTTGATGAAATGCAAAGCTTCTTCCATTCCATCTGAAGACCTGCAGGAAATGTCCAAATACAAAACTCTTTATGACCAGAACATTAGCCCTTGTGGAATTTAACCAACATCATATGTTCACTCTTCTGGGTTCTTTGATTTACTTAGAAAGATCCTTTCATAAGTGGGAAAATAACAAAACTCATGCTCTCTCCGTGTGTGTGTGTGTGTGTGTGTGTGTGTGTGTGTGTGTGTGTGTGCATGTGTGTGTGTGTGTGTGTCTGTGTATAGAATAAATGAGGGAGGTTATTTGAAAATAAATCAGTACCAAATATACATCTAGGCAGGAGAAGGAGAAAAAATAAAACCAGGAGAGAATTAAATTAAATATAAAAAAACTTGCAACTGTATATAAAACTTTCTGATGTTACTCTATCATTACTAACAACTCAATCAATAGAATATAGAGAAATACCCAAACTCTTTTCATCTTTACAATGGTGATGCATACAAGGATTCGGGGAAAGTGCTTACATATTTGCAATTAAAAGAAAGTTCACTTTCCTTATACAACCTGGTCATTTTCACAAAGATTTATACTCATTCAGTCAACAATCGGGATCCTATAGCCAAGTACTAAAGCTAGGAGCCATGGGTACATGGCCTCTTCCTTTATGGATTCTATTAACTTTTATGAAAAGCCAAAGAATATGTGTAACTATAACAGGATAACAACTATAAATGGAGACAAATCCTGAAGCCAACAATTAAAATAGTGTGATAGAGAATATCAGTGTATTAGGAAAATTAAGTTCAAATGGATAGTATGACAGTTTCTAAGACACAGAAAGTTTGTTTTGTTCTGAATGAAGACTAATCTAACTGGAAAGAAGTTGTAGCACTGAGAGAATGTTGACAGTTAGGACTGGAAAGTAAGGTCATGAGGTATCTTCATTACAGTGGCCATATAACTTACTACTGAAATAAGAGATCCTCAATAAAGTGAAACATTAACAACAAATAATTATATCAGGACAACAAGCACAATCCAGTATTGTACTGAGAAAATATAGACATTCTACATACAGCCCATATTAAATAATTTAAAAGTTATTGCAACTATAATAAGAAATCATTGAACAGCTTTAAAATGGGAAGTAACATGAATCAGTATTTTTAAAAGATTGCTGCTCAATAGAGAAGAGTCTGAGAAGGTCAGAAACTAGTTCAGAGGGTACCAGAACAGTGGAGGCAAGAAATTATGGGACTGTGGCTTAGGGCGGAGGCCAGAAGTGTCCATACTCAAAATATCATTGAGTCATTTCATTAAAAACACTTAATGAAAAATTAGATGTGAAAGAATAAAAAAGACTAATCAAAAAGGGCATATCACACAATTCCTTCTAGAGCGATTACATTTCTGGAGTTGCTGTCTCCTGAGATAAAAAGAAACATTGTAACACAGTTTCAAGGAAAAAAATTGAAAGATGAGATATGTTAAATATTGCATACTTTAAATATATTTAAGCGGCCATATCAATAGGCAGTTATATATGCAAGTCTGTGATAAAGAGAAAAAACTACCAATGTGATTTGGAAGACATTAGCCTGTAGCTGATTTGTAAAGCCATAGAATTATCAAATTAATAAAATAACCAACAGTGAATGAAGACAAAGAAAACAATTAATTCTGGAAAATTCTAAGATATTTCAATTCAGAAAAAAAGAATAAAGAACTGGCAGTGAGACTGAGAAGGATGACAGTGAAAAAAGAAGGAAAATCTGTGTGGTATTAGAAACCAACAGAAAAGAGGTTGAGGAAGAAGTGACTGTCAGATGCCAGTGGGAAGGAACAATAACAACTGATACCTCCCAGGCATGGGGCACCAGGAAGCAAAAACCAAGCAGGGAGATACTTCTCCAATACCATCAAGGACAGAAAGCAACGAAACAGAAACTAGATGGGATGAGATCAGGGGAGGAATTTCTTTTTTTACATGTAAAACAAAATTGTATTTGGATGGTCACAACTTGACAAAATACATTCTTCTTGTTCTCATATTAAAGGTAAGAAAATTTTTGTAAAGACAAACTTTACCTTCTAATTTTGAATATTCTATTTGAAAAACAGAGACTCCCCAGTAGTATTTTACAAATATATGGATATTTGGCTTAATCTTATGATTCCAGTAGGTATTTCTTTTTAAGTTGGGCAGTTCTTTTTTGGGGGGTGTGGTAGAGGGAGGCAGTACTTAAACTCGGGCCTTGTGCTTGCCAAGCAAGTATTCTACCACTTGAGCCATGTCCCCAGCCCTTTTTGGTTTAGTTATTTTTCAGAGGTCTCATGCTTTTTGCTAAGGCCAGCCGGGATCACTATCCTCCTACCTATACCTCCTACAGAGTTGAGATTAAAGATAAGCATTACCATGACCAATTTGTTGGTTGAAATAGGGATCTCACTAGCTTTTTGCCTGTGCTCATCTCAAGCCAGTATCCTCCTGATCTCACCTCCCAAGTAGGTGGGATTACAAGCATAAGCCACTATACTAAACTTATCTTGAACAATTATGCCAGTTGTAATAATCCCATGAGAAGAGAGAAATACCAGTGATGGAGGGAATAACTAAACTTTATGAAGGAAAGAGAGACGCCCATGTGGAAGGACTGGCTTCCACAGAAGCACACTTCCTCCATTGTGACAGGAAAGAAGAGTAAGACTGGCTGGGGAATTTGAATTTCATGTTGGGAAAATGAGTAGCTCTTCTTCTGGTAGCTTTCATTTCAACAAGGTCAACAAATGAAAACAAGGAGATGAGAAAAACATGTGCAAGTCTGAAGGAGAAAAATTATCAAATAGGCATTCCCGGGACTCCAAGATGTAGTTTATTAGAGAAATGCAAAGTTTCTGGGTGGCACCGAGTGCCCAGGTAGCAATACTACTCATGAATATTTAGCAGGACCATCTGTCTAGTGGTGAGATTTTCCTCCATAATGTTTTCCAACTCAATTACATTTGCACATTATTATATTTACTCTGAATTGATGAAAATATAATATTCTTAACTCTTTAAAAATTAACTATGACAATAAATATTTACATTCTATTTCTACACTTTATTAAAATCACATCGTACATTCCTTTTACACAAAGCATACAAACCATATCTTATGAGTTTCAGTTACAGTATTTTTGAAAAGGAAATAAAACTTCACTTTAAAAGAATCAAACCTGAGTTAACTCAGAATCATCTCTTTGACTTGCAATAATTAAATAATCTTGACCGTCTGAAGTAAAATATCTTACTTGAGAACTTTCTGAAATAGTGATTGTTTGTACCTGCAAGGAAGAAGAAGAGAGAATAAAAATGTAAAGGAGACATTAACTAAGGAAGGGACTGACTATATTAATAGTATGCCCCAGCATTTGAAATTCGAGACTTTGTTATTCTGATCCATGGGTGTCATACCTAAGTGTCAAGAAAGATAAAAATATGCCTGGATCAAGATACCTTGCTATCAACTTACAAAAAGTTATTTTCCACATTAACATAGAACATGTATTGTCTTCCATGCAATTAAGCCTACAGATCTGAATTTCGTTCAGATAAAGCAGTCTAGGGAAAAAAATGAAGATTTTTTTTACCAGGAATAATTCAAATCCAGCTGTGAACGTATACACACTGTTAACAGAAGGCTTTTTTTCATTTTTTTCTTCATGAGTAATCACGAAGTAGGGGGAAAGACGAATATTAAAGGCCTCACAGGTTTTAGGATTTCCTATACTTAAATCCTAGGAAATGAGGAATAAGGATAAAAATAATTAATAAATATCCAAAATTTACCTATGCATTTTACTTTATGTATTGTAAAAAAGAAAGTAAGGCTTACCACAACTGGAATAAAAATCCCTTGCCATCGGTAAATAGTAAGTGATGCTTCTCTTAACATTATACCATATGTTGAATCTTCCAAAGTAAAGAAACACCAGGTAAAAGATGACTTGTCCAAAAAACTTTGAAATATGGCAAAGACAACATCCACTCCCCCTAAAAATATAAATCATTAGTTATGAGTGCATAATGCCTTTCAAACCTTATCTACTCTGATAGTTTATTATTATTATTGAATAGTTATTATAAACAGTGAATTAGGGAGTTTGTTACTAGAAATAAAGATCCTCCTTTGTGTATAAAACAAAGAGATGAGCTAGAAACTAAAAAGTAACAATTTTTAAAAACAAGAAAAATAATACTTTGCTCTACTTCTGTATAGACTTGTCCAAAGTCTATTTAAAAATAAACAGTAAGTGTACATTTTAAAGGGAAATACGCTAAAAATGATATTTTCATAAAGATGATGCATATTTGAGAAACTTCAAAATAATATATATACCTTATAGAAACATGCTAAATGTTAGATTTTTAAAAACTTATACTAATGTTTTGAAAAAGTGTCCATCCAGTGATTTCTCACTTTACGTTTTATATGTTTTAAGGATGACATGCAGACTCACATACCTCAAATGACTTTGAAGGCATTATGAAATTGTTATAACTTGTGCATACCTTAAAAGTCTGTGCTATAAAAAAGGAACAAAGAGAAAACAACTACCTAATAAAGAACAATCATAGAAAAGCTGCTATAATCTATTATCGTGACTCACCCCAAGGAAAGTAAGTTCTTTTTAAACTTTGGCTAGTGGTGTGAACAGGATGCAACAAGAACATATTTCCAGGTTGAAACCTAGGCTCCTTATAAATTATTGATCATATTTAGATTACCAGTTAAAGAAGGCATAAAGCAATGCTTATGTATAACATTCATTATAGATTTATTTTCCTTAAAACCCAACATTTTAAATTCCTGTCTTGACACCTTTCAAACAAGTTCACAGCTTTTTCATTAAGATTCCTGAATGATCCTGAAGTACGGACAAATCCTTCCATACCTCCAAAGGTGAATGAAGACCAAGCAATGACTGCTGCCATTTAAGAAGCTCTGCTCTCACACCTGTTTCCAAAGGGCACATGCAAAGCCCAAACAGTAATGAAAGAACTGAGTTGGAAATCACTGTCTCTCTTTTTTGGCACCATTCTCTCCAGGGTTCTAGGCAACCATGTCTCTACCTGCCAGGATTTTTCCAAGGCATTGAAAGGTGCACCAGTCTCTCCAAACTAGGCAAATTCTTTTTCACATCACTACCTTCTCTAGGCCCTACCTTCCCACACAGACTTCTCGAAATAGTTGCATGAATTTGAGGTCTATTCCTTCACCTCCATTCAATGTGTTATTCAGTTCCCATACCTCTATACAAATAGCTCTTGCTATGGCCATTATTGCTTTCCACATTACTCACTATAATGTTTTTTTTTAGGTCCTCATCTTACCGACTTCCCATCAGCAGATTGCACAGATTAGCCCCCTCCATGTTAATGCTATCTTCTGCTGATGTCTGCAGTCCTGGATTCTCCTGGATTTCTCACCTGCTACTCCAAACCTCCTTTGCAATGTCATTAAGTTATTACCTACTCAACAGAACTTTTGCAAAGTTTGGTCTCAGTCCTCTTCTCTTCTCTATCTATAATCTTTCACAGTTGTAAAATCAATTTCCATGAGTTTGAGTACAATACATCTAAATATTCCCAAATTAATTTTCCAGTAGAGACCTTCTTTTCAATCTAAAGAAACATCTCAAAAATAACTCAAACTGAAAATGTGTAAATAACACATTTATTTTACTTTCCTCACACAAATAATATTGTTCCTCTTTCAAGAATTCCCTTTCTTAGTGAGCAACATAACATCCACCCAACTTTACAAGGCAGAAAACTAGGAATCATTTATGGCACCTCCCTCTCGCCCTCACATCCAATCCACACGCTGGGTCTAACCTGTGATCATCTGTTGCCTTTTCCTTATCTTCCTGTGTCCCTTCTTCTCTTCTATACAAACCAGTTCTTTATATGGCATTATGCATGGTATCTTCAAAATGCAAATATGACTGTACCACATGCCCCTCCCTCGTGCCTAAACCATGACCAGACCACACTCCTTTCTTTCGTGCCCAGACCATGCAGAGGCTTTCCCTGAAACCTAAGGAAAAAATTGACATCTGTAATTTGTGTTCAAATTTTTTATAATCTAGTCCTATGTACCAGTTGGAGGTCTATTTCTAATCCCATTTGCACTAAAGTTCTTCATTTATGACTTGTCATTTTATGCTTCAAGTCTCCTGCCTTGATAGTTTCCCATGCTCATCTCCATTTTCCTTCCACTCAGTTCTTTGCATAATCAATATCCACACTCATCATTCAGTCTTACTTCAAGTATTGATACCCCTGGGGAACACTTTCCTATGTTCTTAACACCCAACTCCCAGTTTAGAAGATTTGTTATAGTTTATACTACACATTGATTTTACTTATTTGATTTATTTCTGGTAGACCTAGAAGCTCTGTTCTAAGCTCCATGAGCACTGTTCTACACTTAGCACATGATAGGTGTTCAATAAATATGCATACATGCAACAATAGAATTAGATACCTGTCCTCTATTTTCAATAGATCCATACTATACAACTCATGGAAATAATGTAAATCTTATACATGAAACATTTTAGTTCTATATATCATTCTTAAAAGAAACTAAACATACTCATGCCTAAGGCTGTTTCAGATACTGTCTCCCACTGCACACTCACAGCCAGATCAATACCATTAGTACGTGACACATTTAAGTATATAGTCCTGTTGGCTTCTTCGATGTCTATGGAAGTGGCTCTAAAATGAGAAACAAATGGATTGTGGAAAGCAGAGAAACACCATACAATTTCTACATATTTAAAATGTATATCACATTGACAGCATATATTTGATTTGCTTTTAAATTTTCAAAACCCAAGAAATATCCACAAATTTTACACACCAGAAAGACTAGAATTGAGTGCTCAAAAATAATCATTTGTGTAGTTTTTTTAAAAAAGCACAAAGTCCACACTCTAATACCACGATCATTTTAAAAAAAAAACCTAAAAGTCAGCAACTATGTACTATACATTCTAAAAAAGAAATAAAACTGTCATTTCTAAGTTTCTCCACACATAAATCAAAAATATCTGACAGGGAAAGATAAGTCAGGAAATTCTTAGCATATTAGTAAAACTAGATCTCTTAAAATATTTTTATGACATAAAACATAAATATTTGTCACCTTCCAGAGGAAGTTTTAAAACTACAATTATGTTAACACACATTTGAAGAGTTGTTCAATTGGGGTGAACAGCTAAGCACATTTTATATTATTTCTTGCTTTTTGTCACTTTTAAAATCACAAAATATTGCAGGTCTTTACTTGAAAGTATGAATTCTGAGAAAATAAGAATTCTAAAAACACCATTATACAGGACATGTTTAGGCTTTTGATGCTCCCTGTTCTCAGATAGCTTATGGCCTCTCTGGATTTATCTTCTAGAGTTCATTTTAAAAGTCACTTTGAAATAATGAGAGGGCCGGGCATGTAATCCCAGCTACTGGGGAAGCAGAGCTGGAAGGAATGCTATCCAAGGCCAGCCGAGGCAAAAGCACGAGATCTCATCTGAAAAACAAACTGAAAACAACAAGGACTGAAGGCAGGGTTCAAGTAGCAGAGTGCTTGCCTAGCAAGTGTGAGACCCTAAATTCAATTCCTAGTACCACCAAAAATAAAATAATATGAGATTAATTTCCTTCTTCATTTTCTTATGTCAAAAATATTCCCTACTTAGTTTCGGAAATCATTTCCTTATAAAAAAAAAACTTTACCTATTTCCAATGGCAGAAATACTGAATAGTCCCAAAGGGTCCTGGTTTTGCAAAACTGTTATGAAGGTGTGAACATGTGCCCCTAGTCTAGCGCCTCCAGTTGGATTAAACAAGGTACAGACAAAATGCTCATCCATTTCTGGTTCCGAGTCTAATAAGGCAGCTATGTGTAGGGCCTGAAACCAAAATCAAAAGATAACGTTACTAAAATATATAGATCATTTTTGCCACACACATATAGAGAAAGTTACCAAACATCTTTGACAACAAAATAATATGCTTTTAAAAACTCAGGTTTTAGTTTTAATACTGATCCCCATAATGTTTCAAATTACTATTGAGATTTTCAATACCATGATATATTTCACTGAAGTGTCTAAAAAGTAAATACTCATGGCATTTAAGAAGTGATTAAAAGATTAAATTCATGTCTTTATTTTTGCTAACTTTTTATCCTGCCTGGCTATATAATTTCATTAACCTCATTGTAGTCTAAGATTCACTGTCTAAAAATAGTGATGGAGGGTCGGTGGTGTTAGAGAGCCGGTCAAGCAAGTGCAAGCCTGAGCTCAACAGCAGTATGAAAAAAAAAATAATAATAAATAAAAATAAAAGAAATGGTATCCATAGCAGGCACAAATTAGAAACAACCCAGATGTTGGTCAATGGGAGAATGGATAAACTTCTGATCTATTCAATAAAATGAGACTCAGCATTAAAATGTCTGCATTTCAATGAAGTATGCAACAATATGGATTTCACCAATTATGTTGAGTGAAAGAAGCTAAACACAAAATAGTAGTAATGCATGGTTCTATTTATATACAGTGTAAGAAAGTGACTCTTCAATCTTAAAAATTAAAAAGTAATCTCCATTGGAAAGGATGGGGGCAACAAGAGAACCTTCTGGATGATGATAAGTGTCCTAATCTGAGTGGTGGTTACATCTGCATATGCATATCTTTAAAGTCATTTATCCCATATGCTTAAGATTTGTGTTTTGCTGCTTATACTTCAAAATAGAAGCGTGTCAAAAACAGATGGGTTAAGAAATTTGTTCCAAATTTGTTCATTTGTTTAATGAACAGAAATGTCTTTTAAAAAATACTGTGAAAAAGAGAAAAGAAAGGATGTCACAATAAAAGATAACTTAAAGTACACAAAAATTAAGAAATAATTTAAAAAGAAGAAAAATGTGAACATGGCAAATTCATAATATTCTTCAAATTTAAACTGCAACATCATTTCAAGATCTAAGGGTGTCTTTGTTCAATGACAGGTTATAAATTTTGAATAACATAAAAAAGTGAGCATGAAAATATGCTGAAGTTTATGTAAACTTATCAATAAGAAAATTATTTAATTATGAGATGATCTAATTCATCAAATTATTGTTGAAACAACTGTAAATATATTGCTTTAGGGTTCTCTTTACATAGCTGGCTTGAAAAAATGTCTAAAGCTAGTGTTGACTATTTTAAAATTAGACTGTGTTTCAAAACATAACGTTTAAGGCTAGAGGTGTGGCCCAAGTGGTAGAGCCCTAACCCGGTATGTGCGTGGCCCTGGGTTCAATCCCCAGTACAACAAAATTTAATCAGTTAGTTATTTAATTAAAAAAGACAAAGTTTAGTAGCAGGAACAGAAAATTAATATATAGAAAAAGAAGTTTGAAAGATAAATGCCTGCTATTATAGACCACATTCATCATGAATCTCAAATCCAGCATTTTTTTTCTCCACTAAGATACTCTTATTCTCAAACAAGCAGTCTGAAGCCAGCAGCTATATTTTGTTTAATCAGTGACAATAAAGAATGACTGGCCTGGTAATTCTTTTTAGCGTATGCTTTATAGACAACATAAAATGAAGTATACCACGTAAACGGGCTTGAGATTTAAAATAGAATAATGCGTATTTTTTTTACTTGCTACCTTATTTACTGCAAATTTTTCCATTTGCATTCCATACGAACTTTATAACACTTTAACACCTGTCACATAGTAAATAATCTGTTTGTGTCTTTACCAAAGCTAGAAATTTTTTTTTTCATTTGAGGATCTGGGGTATGCCCCTAAGAGAAAAGTATTTGTAAATGTTAAGGATAATGTTAAATTTTCATTGAAGGCTCATACCTTACCTTGACTCCAACGCCTTCCTCTAAAACAATAAAGCCTTTGGAAGGAGTCAGATCCTTGGACTCTGCTGAGGAATTGACTTCTGTCACCATGAACTGAACCGTCACAGTTCCAAACAATCCTTGTGCAGGTTCCCGAACAACATACAATACTGCCACGCTGTCCTGCACATAGAGAGCTGCCGGTTCTCTCAGGAAAAAGTGCTCACTGTTATTAAATGACAGAACTCCAGATCCATCGTCATTAGCAAGGACAGTAATTAAAGCTGTCAAAATAAAAACATCCAAGTGATGATGAAGATAGAATGGGTTATAAATTCTGAAAAGAGTGTGGATTTTTTTTTTGGAAATAGTCAACTCTGTAAGTAATGTGAGCATTAAGAACATGAAATGTTTTAAAGCATTTAATAAAATCCCATGTTCACTCATGTTATAAAAATGCTCCGTAATCTTGGAACAGAAGGCAAGTTTGACAAACTGATAAAATGATAGCTCTCAGAGGCCAACAGCAAATATCTCACTTAATGTTGAAACAGTAGTCATGTTCACATCAAAAACAGAAACAAGAAAATGACACCTGCCATCACTACTTCACAACAATGTCCCCAGACTATCAGCCAATAATGTGTAAAAGTAGTAAAAGATTCAGAACTGTGGCTATTTTCTGAACAAAATGCTTGTCTTATAATAAAATGCAAGAGGAAACTATTAGAACTATTGTGAGTTTAAAATATAAGCCTAGAATCTTCAATAGTTAAGAGCTTTCTATTTTTCACAAGTACTAATAAAATGTTAATAACTATAACAACCAATGCCATTAAGAAGTTACTACTTGTTTAATACATATTAAATCATTTAATTCTCACCATAACCCTATGAGGTTGATTCTGTTTTTAATTCCCATTTTACAGATCTTATAACTAAAGCACAGACTGATAACCTAAAGAAGTTCAAAGCTAGAAAGCAGCAAAACTAGTGTACGAATTCAGGAAGTCTGCTCCGAGCATATGTCCTTAAAGGCATAATGCCTCAACACACCAGCTCTCACTGTCTAAATAAATAGAAAAATATAAGACCCATACAAAGAAAACCACAAAATGTTAATATGTGACTGTGACAGATGCTGTGAGTGTTTCAAACATATCCCTTTGTCCCACTGTTGGGTCACTTGCACTAGGTTCTATTCACCCAGTGGCCTCTCTCTCTCTCTCTCTCTCTCTCTCTTTGAGGACAGTATCAACCCAGGCAACAGGGAAGCCACAATTGCTAGAGATGCTGGAGACTTAACCCCCAAACAATTATGGATAGGAGTTCATGAATGAATATCCCAGCTTTCCCAGCCTCTCTCATTCTCATGGGACAATACTGAGCTTTACTCAATCCATTGTCTGAGGACGCCAGCAGGACTGAGCCTCAGTTGTCTGCAGCTGTATTACTATTAGTACATCTTCTATCAGCTTCGTATAGATAAAAAAAAAAATTCACACTGAAAATCAGTGACAATTAGATGTCCCATTTTTCTATATGGTATTAGGGTATTGGTTTATTTTTAAAACATTTTTATTAGTATGTAATAGTTGCACAGGGAGTTCACTGTAACATTTCCATATGTGCATATAATGTAACCTGCTTTGGTTCATCCTTTCCATTACTCTCCCTTTTCCCTTCCCCCTTCCTAAAATGATTTTCACAAAATTAAATGTTCCATATTCATACACGTATAGAAAATACATCAAACATATTCACCCTCATTTACCCTCTTCATTTATCCTCCCCCTCCCACTAATACCCTCCCTTTGACAGGACCTGTTTTATATTCCTGTTCTTCCTTGTTTAAATGTCTCTTTATTTATTATAGAAAAAAATTAAGTTGTATCCTTGCCTCACACACTGCCAATGAAAAATTTATTTTATGTTAAATAATTACATGTAACTCTATGAAAATGTTAGAAAAATAGAGTAAAATATTTTTATAGTGTCTAGCTAAAAAACCAAATTGGATTGAAAAGAATGTAAGAAAATATATTTTCAGTTTAAAAAAACCATAATAAAAGACACCATAATAAATTTAAAAGGTAAATGACAGTGTATGGGAAATATTTGCAATACATTGACCCACTTCATCTAAAGCCGTATGTTCCTCACATTAAATTAATTAGTCAATTAATTTCTTTGTTTAAAAACCTTTGAATCATGTTTTCCATTGTTCATATGTAAGTAATTCTTAACCAACATGTGGGGTGAATTCTCTTAACCCTTTACATGTGACTCACTATGGGCTACAGGAAAATCATTTCATTTCAAACATATGCTCTTTGAATTTCAAACAACAGTCATATCCTCAAACAAAGGTTTCTGAGGACTTATAAATATCAATTTATTTTTATCAATATACAAAAACTAGGGCTGACAGAGTGACTCAAGTGGTAGAGTGCCCTGAGTTCAAACTCCAGTACCACCACAAAAAAAAACTTTAAAAAAGTCTGATTACTTAAAATTTCTTCATGTGTTTTACTACAAATCAGATGTTTTCACATAAAGACCAATAGGTCAAGAATACAAGGGTGAATTAACTTAAAATTCTAAAGAATACTCAGCCGCTGGCTAAACTGAATGGGAGACTGAAGAGTCAGTCACCACTCAGTCCTCTCACTCCAGGAGCTTACCTATTATCAAAGGAATTGAAGTGATTTGGAGGGGGGGGTTGATGGGGTTTGTACCGAGAGCCTTGCACATGCAGCATGCTAAGCATGCAACCAAGTTCATGTCATGAAAGGATGACTTTAGACAAAAATGACTCTCATGATCTGTCTGAGGCTTCCATACCCCTCCACTCTGTGCAGAAAACTATGACATATAGGCAACACTCAAAACCACCTGTCACTTCCATCGCCAGGCAGGAAACCAGAGCAGAACTCAAAATTCAAAGAAAGACATCTGCACACTGAATAAAACTGCAATATTTGAGGAAATTATTTAATATTATCTTTAGTATCAACCTACTTTGGGTATTTTACATAAATACAACACAGGAAAGAAACACTATCAAACTGACACAAAAATTTCAAAATGCTTTAACTTAAAAATATTCTTGACTCAAAGTAAAGAAACCATTAAGACTCTGATCCCTCTTGCCCCACATTAGGGAAAGGGGGTTGTGTGTACAAAATGATCAATTACCTATAGTGTTTTTCCCCAGCTCTAGTCCAGGAGAAGGATTTGTTAATATCAACTGGAATTTTTCATCTCCTTCTGGAACGTCATCATCAAGTATCATGATAGCTACTTTTTTAGACCTTTCTCCATCCGCAAAATGAAGAATCTGGTCAAAAAGGTAAAAAGAAACTTATGATATTTAAATGCACTCTGTTTTTATCAAGTGTTTGAAAAAAATTATAATAAAGATGTTAGTATAAAGAACAAGCAGCTTTACAGAAAATATTTTCCCTTCACTTTTTATGATTTATTTTCCTTTACACTGACAATATTTCATTTAAAAAGCAAAGTTATGGAGGAGAGAAAAAAGTAAATATTTGGCTAATAAATGAAAAGTAAGAAGCAACAAAGTAAAAGGCATTTTAAAAGTTAAGGTGTTTTGGTAAATTAAAACAAAGAAATGAAAGCTAAAAGTTTCAAGAAGCACAACATTCTGGGAAGGTCATCTAATGATAAACATCCTTCAACACATGGTCTTGTGTTCTTCGGTATTAAATATTGTAAAAAAAAATCTGATGAATACAAAATAGTCCTTAGCAAGTTGTGCTATTTACTAAAATCGTGAAAGAAACTATTCCACCACATGGAAATCTTTTGACTGACTTCACAGTGGAATAGTTAACATAATAGTTTATTAAGTTAAATTTATTTATATAGGACTTAATCACTATAATTATCAAGGAGTAAACAACGACAACATAATTTTGCAAAATTTCATTTTAAGTCTGTGTGGTGACTACCATTGGAGTGAAGATGTAATCCAGCCCCAGTTGTGCTTCCAAATTCTGGGCATACACAAACAGGGAGACCTGGCCAAAGGCCTCTGTGCTCCTTTGGGCTATTAAAGTTATATTTCCATTGGTTTCACTGACTTCAAACCTATGACAAAGTAAAGAGAACACACTCATTTTTCTCTTATAAACTTCATTTTGTTGATAGCAATGAATCTAAAACTCAGGAAAGGGCTCTCACAGAGCCATAGGCTTACCTGCTATGCTGCCATTCAATGACGCCCCGAGCACCATCACTGGCGTCAATGATAATTTGTGCAGTCAGACCTTCTGGATCTGAAACAAACACAACGACACTCTAAATAAATATACATTTATTTATATAAATTTTGTTTTAAAAATTATTTTAAAGCACTGCTTAATATAGAATTTAAAGACATCCCATTTGAGATCATTTTATTCCTTGGGTATAGTTATTATTGACATTACTTGAAAGATGCTTAAGAAAGCAAAGACACTAATATTTATGACATTTTTTGCTAACAAAAGTCACTGATTTATAAAAATTTAAACAATTAAGAAAAGTATGAAATAATGAATGATATTATGGTTTTATTTCTATGGTTTTAATAAACTAAAAATATTTGGCACCTCTATTCTATATGATCACCATTTCAGGAGGGAGGGAAAAGGGGGACACTGGAAGGAGCAAGAAGACAAGGAATGTAGAAAAAATAGGAAGAGAAAGGCAAACAGTGGTTCAGAAAAAACATACAGTTGTAACAAAGAGATAGAGAGACAGGAGTACAAACCAGACAGTTGGGAGAGATGAGGAAAGGGTTTAGTAGGATAGAAACTAGTATTGATGTAAATTTTTCTGCTCCCTTTTTATTTTGTATACCATACACCAAATTCAGTACTAAAGTATCAACCAACCCTTTTACTGGTGTATCTTTATTTCGTTTTTTTTTAATATGTTGTCCTTTACTTTAATCTAGGATACTAATGATAGCTGCTGAGGTAGGAAAAGGAATAGAGAAAACCTAATTCTAGATTGAAGGCAGCAATATGGTCCAGGAGAAGACTATCAAACTAGAAGCTAAAAAACAGGTTCTAAAATCAAACCATACCTTTAAAGCACAGGTTTACCTTTCCTAGCTATAATTTTTAACATATTACTTAGCTTCTCTAAGTCTCAGTTTCCTTATCCATAAAATGGGAAGATGTAAGAAATGACAATATAACACAAAGAATTTGAAGCAAGAGAATTAGAAAGCACTCAATAAAAGACCATTATTCAAACTACCCTTTTATGTGAACATGACAGAAATAAGAAGTATTTTGTTCTTTTTCTTAGAATGAACAATAATTATCTTATAATATTTGATGTAAATAATCTGCTCATTAGAATCATTTATTTCTTTTGCAAGATAACTGAAATTCATCAAGCAAAAATATGCAGGAAACTGATTATTCCTTTCAAAGTTTCCACTCATTGATCCATGGGATGGGCAATGGGGCAGGCTACCCTCAGTGTTACTCATGATCACCCTATCTCACCTAGAGGATTCAGATAAAAATTTTCAATAGTAAATGTCCAAAGTGAAAACAGGACATTGTATCCAAACATAGGAATGCACCTTTTAAAAAGAATCTACACGAATTTCTACCTGGCCTAGTTTTTACCTTTCAGTCTATAATGAATTAACTAAGTCTTTTTCTAAAAGCATGAAAAAAAAAAAAAGATGACAGGTTCAAAAAAAGCAGAGAACACAACAACAAACAAGATCTGCTTGCCCTAAAAGAAAAAAAATCAATCATCAGAGAATTTGGAGATCTGATGAAAACAGCTAACTAAATTTTAAAAGAAAATGAAAGCAAATGCCTTCCATTGTATTTTGAGGATCACAAAGTTGGTTATAAAAGTTATAAAATTTAAAAAGCATCACAAAATAATTCTTAATGTCTTTACACTGTCCTACATATAAAACTGCAATAAAGTCTCTAAATTAAATATAAAAGTTCATCATATTTTCACACATTGCTGAGATAAAAAAACATGATTACTTGATTAAAAATTAAAGGTATTTAATTTGAAAACAGTAATAAGAAGCAAACAAATAATCAAAAAAACTCCAAAAACATCATACCTAGTCTGGGAGGAAATGAAGTTGAAGGAACCATAATAAGTTCAACATAAGTTAAATTCACCAGAAAATATTCTTCTAGTTCTGGTATATCATCCTGCAAAAATTATACCCATTAAATTCCTTTAAGTATGCTCCAAAGGAATTATCCTGTTTTTATACTACATTATAAACATATATTTCATATGTACCTATATTACATTATAAATATATGCATAAACAATATACACACAATAGGGTACATATAAACACACAGTAGAAAATAGAAAATATTTAACTTAGAAAAAATAACCATAAAATATGAAACTTACACCAGGTTGTAAAGGATTTTATTAGGTTAACTGATATAAAACCACCTAAATACCTCAATTTTTTAGCCAAGACTAATAGAACATGTAAACCAATTCTGTAAATATAAAAGCCTAATTATTTTGAATAGAACATGAACAAAATTCTTTGGAAGTATCAAAAATGCTTCCTTGGAAGTTCTTAGGCCAGTCCCTTCTTATGGGGAATTGCTCTAATGTTTCTATAATAAAATATACTACAGCAGGCTAATGTTCCCAAACAAGAATAGAATCTCCTCTGTGGTTTGAAGGAAAAAAAATTAATAACGAAAAGAAATGACCTGATTTAAAGGCACCAGTAGGGGAAATCAAGCTGAAACAAATTCACGAAGTTAGTGAAGATTATAGTTGTAGAATATACAAACTTTGTACTAAGAGCAGAGTAATCCTTTAATATAGAAAGAACTAGCTCCTACTAGAGAAAAGGTTAGTTTGAGAAGAATTAACCTAGAAGGTAACACACATGCACAGGAAATTAATTTGAGTCAACTCCCTGTATAGCTACCCTTATCTCAACTAGCAAAAACCCTTGTTCCTTCCTATTATTGCTTATACTCTCTCTTCAACAAAATTAGAGATAAGGGCAAAATAGTTTCTGCTGGGTAGCGAAGGGTAAGGGAGGGTAAAGGAGGGAGGGGGGTAAGTGAGGGAGGGGGATAAGTGAGGGAGGGGGGTAAGTGAGGGAGGGGGTAAGTGAGGGGATGGGGGGAAGGGGGGAGAAATGACCCAAACATTGCATGCACATATGAATAAAATAAAAAATATATAAAGAACTAAAAATAATCACATAATCTTAGTTTTCATAAAATTTGCTAACTAAAAATGCAAAGTGATTAGAAGTCTCTTCCTAAATATTTTATAGGTAGAATATTCTATCAATTTCTACTTTCTATGTGATTACTTCAGGTTTAATAGTAACAATAGAGAAACTGCAAGTTTCACCTCAAGTATAGTAATGTTGATGGCTTTTGCTGTTTCTCCTTCTTCTAAAACCATAAAGCCAAGCACCGGGACAAAATCAACTTCTGGCTCTGCTAGGTTTTCTTCTGTTTGATTCGTCAGACTCAACCTTCCAGGAATGGTGGTATATGTGACATTCACAGCTCCTAATTGAATTGGTTGCAAAAGGTTTTATAATTATTTAACTTTTCAATAATGTCTTATTCTGAACTCCTCCTTTCCATTAGCACCTGCACTAGCTTGTATTATTGGCCCCTAGTTCTTACACCTTCCCATGTTCATGACCTTCCCCACTTATTGAGAGTCCAGTGATGTCCCACTGTGGGTAAGGCTTACTTCACTACCTCTGAGCTTGAAGTTTGACTGTGACTTGTTTTGGCCAATAGAACAAGGCAAAAGTGATGATGTACTAATTTTAAGCCTCATGGGACCTTGTGTGATTTTTGTTTGCTTTTTTGTGCCTCTGTTTGTTCCAAGAGGAGAATGAGAAACATATGGAGAAGAATTAGTTTGGCCAATCCCAGTCTAGTTATTGGACCTACAGCCAGCCTTCTAGCATAGGTTACTGAGATTTCATGGCAGATTATTACACACCATTTCTGTGAAAATAAATAATTCCCTTAACCTTTTCAAAAAATAAAGAAGTTATGAAGTACTGTCCTGAACTTATAAATATTAATTTTTCTTCTCTGATTTATCTTAGCATCCACACAAGTAGAACATTAAAAATCCCCTGCCTAGAAACCCCATTCATTCCACAGTCAACAAACCTAGAGATCCGAACTCTCTGTTGATAAAAAGTTGAATTGTTACATCAGCCTCCTGTAGTAAAACAAATCTTGATGAAAGTGCAAAATTTAAAACTCCATGTGGTTCATCACTGGCTTCTACTGTCAAGACTGCTGCATATCCTTGAGTATCAAGCAGAGCAATCCCTGCTGGTGGAACTCCTAAAAATATCAGAGACCATATTAGGAAATCTAACAGTGATTTGGCATTAACTCTGAATTCTTAAAATATAGCCCCAACCTTTTGAAGCATATTAAAGTAAGTAGAAAGGGTTCTATTTTGTTCATTTTTCTAAAAGAATCCATTAGGTCAACAATCAGAATCCACATTCCATTTTTCTTCCAGACAGAAAATCATGAATTTTTTTACTTGATTTATTATTATCTTTCTTGGCTATATGACAGGTATGAATTACAAATACTGAGTAGAAACTGACAAGAGTACACAGATAATTTGGTCAAAAATGACTAAATTTGAATTGTCTACATATAGTAATTAGTCCCAAAACCAAATCTATTGGTTAGAATAAAATTAAATTCTGCAGCCTGGAGGTGTGGTTCAAGTGTAGAGTGCCTGCTTTCCAAGCAGGAAGCCCTGAGTTCAAATCCCCAGTCCCACCAAAAAAAAAAAAAAGGAGTATACATCAACAACACCACAAAGTAAACTTAAGAAAGTTAAATTCAGAAATTTCTACCATTGGAAATATATTTTATTCCATAAATAATTTAACAAAAATCTCTGAACTTTTTCCTAAGTCCATATAGTTAAGTATTCCCGTCTGTGTTAGTGCTTTGTGTACCTAACATTTCTATAGAAGCATCTAAAGCAACATTTTTAAGTTGGTATGTAGCTAATTGTTAAACACAGAGATAGCAACTATTGTTAGTTGCTCTATTTTCTGAAAAGAAAATACAAAAAAGAAGTTCAAAATTGAGTTCTGATTTACCTTGTGTCCAGACATCAAACAGAATGATCTGGTATACTTCTTTCTCCTCAGGAATGTTGTCATCCAGCAAATGCACAAAAATTGTTTTATTCAATGTCCCCTGTGTCAAACAGAAAGAAATCCATTCTTGTGCTGCTACTAAACACAGACTCTCATCTCCTGCTTGTATTGGCTATATAAATTATGTGTGCAAATACATTTTCCTGTATTCAGAGTGTTTTTTGGCTACACTTTATTTAGAGGATGTATGATTTATTAGTATTCTCACAGCTCTTCTCCCAAATGTCCTTAAATACAGAAAGGTTCAGTACACAGTTATGTATGCCCATTCCATGACAGTTGTCAAAGTTTGCACATGATACACATATTCAAACTGGAATCACAAATAATGACCTTGATATAAACTATTACCTAACCAAAAAACATTCAGAGCAAAAGCTTCTACAGAACACAAGAGTGTAGCCAGTCAGACACACTGGTGTCTATTTTTATTCACAACAGAACTGCCTAGTTAGTTGTTTAAGGAAGACAAGCTGTTTTCTAAAAATCTTACTCAGAAATATGGATCCTAATATGGCCAACAATTCCAATTAGCTGGACTGTAAGTTCCAAGGTGTGCACGCTCTCTTCAGTTAATGGTGTATCTTCTGTGCTGAATCGCATCTGCTCTTCTTCCTTCCTTACAGAGGAAGGTCAGGGTGGCCGTCAGGCAGCTTCACTGTGATGTGCCTTCACTGTGAGTGTTGGGGACCCTAAGACTTAAAAGCATTCCACCTCTCTGGCCAGGATGGGGGTTTTGTTTTGTTTTGTTTTGTTTTAATATTTTTAACATTTTTATTAGTGTGTATTGGTTGTACAGGGGGGTTCCATTGTGACATTTCCATATGTGTTTACAATGTACCTGGTTAAAAACACCCCCATCATCATTCTCCCTCATCTCCCTCCCTCCCGCTAAAACTATTTCATTGTTATTTCCACAAAAGCATATAAAGCATATGGATTATATTTATATTCCTTTGACCTCTCTATTTGCCATCCTCCTACCACTAGTACCCACTCCCCAAATAGGACAAGTTTTATATTCATGCCCTCCAGCTTTTAAGTTTATATTCACTGTTTATAGGGGTATCACTGTGGTATTTTGTCCATGAATATATTGTACCTTAATCAAATTAACCTCCTCTACTTACCCTTTTTCCCCTACTTCCTATTATTCAACAGCTTTTGGTGCTTTACATTATGAAGCATCTTTTTATTTTTATTTTTTGGGTGGCACTGGGATTTTAACTAGGGGCCTCACTCTTGGTAGGCAGGCACCCTACCACTTGAGTGACACCCCAGCCCTTTGGCTTAAAATCTTAATTGAATAAAAACTATTGATTCATGAGAAACCTGTTTTAAAGCAGCTAGGAGGTGACTGTGGAAAATTTTGAGTGCTGAGCTAATCAATGTAAATCTTATCCAAATGAGCAATGTGACACTATTAAAAATATCAGACAAAGCAATAAATTAGGGAGCTTTCTGCAGGAATGGCAAATAGAAAAAATGAAGCAAGAAAAAGAAGAAAACAGTGCTATGAAAATATCTTATTAGAAGTCCAATGTATCGTCATGCAAGGCTTGGTTCAATATAGAGGCAGTAGAAATGGAGAGAAGAAGAATAAATACATTATCAAAGTCAGATTCATGCCAAGTGGGTATGAAGAAGAGATGATAATAAATATAATACAGTGTTGATTCTCTATCCCTTTTTCCCCAAAATACATTGTAATTTTTTTAGAAATTTATGTCAAAGCTTTTCTTTATGGTATTACCTCAGGAAAGAAGAGTCGCCCAGTAAAGTTAGCAAAATTGGATTCTAGATTTTGCCCAATAATTTTCCAGTCAACAGAAACATTTCCTCGACCAGGAGGTGTTCTTATCACATGGAATTGCAAAATTTCTCCTGCAAATAAAATTGAACATTGGTTAGCACTTAAAGGAAAATAAACTTTACATTTTAACTCAACAAAACCCAAATCGCAAGCATGCAACTACTAAGTCTCCCTTTCAAGAACATTACAGAGCTGTTTTGAATTTTCTAGAAGCTTCATACATGCTTATGTACTATCCCACTTCTAAACACTTTCAATTAGAACTTAGGAAAATTCAATATGTAAAAACTACAAAAGCACATGCTAAAATGGGAAACACAAACTTGTATACACTTCAAAACATGCACCAGAACTTGAGAGTTCTGTAAGTTTAAAAAAAAAATCCTCATGGTTGAAACTAATAATAACACAGGTAAGTTCTTCCTTCACTTCTCAAAAGAAGGACACAAATTCCTTACACTGGTATGCAATGTGATTTTACCCAATGCATGCATTAAAATGCTTGCAAATTCCTGAAAATCACATTTTTAAGATTGTAACTTACATATACCATCAATGATTTTGTTTTACAAAAAGAAATACAAAGGAAAGGTGTCAACTCTGTACATCAACATCTGTAACTTCACCAAAGTTACAGATATTCTTCCCAGATAACTGAGCATTTTAGATACTTTCCATTCCTGGCTTTTATCCACATGTAACATTTTATAAAACTGAGGAAAATCGGGAGTATAGTTTCTCTCAAATTGCTAAAAGTGAGCTTGCTAAGAATTATGCTGATTGCTTTCAGGCTTGCTGAAAATATGCTCAATATACTAGTTTGCTATGATGATAAACTCAAGTGAAGCTATACTAATGAACAAAAATTATTATGAAAAATAAACAGAACAATATTTAAAAGACTTTAAAGGGAGACATCCTTATTCAAATTTTATAGCACAAACATATAGTTGAAATCTATGTATATTCATTAAAAATTTCACTGTTAGTTATCCAAATAGCTTTTATGTATGTAAGTAAAGTCTTCTACTAACACTTTTTAAACAAGGGGAGCAGAAATAAAATAATAACACGTAAAGCACATTGTTCTAATATTTTTCAAACTACCGCATTTTAAACTATTACATTTAAATTTTTTTTCTGATGATAATAAGCCTAAATACATATTTCTTTCTTTTTATATTTTTTGATAGTTCTATAATCAAATCCTCATTCATACTAGGCAAACACCCTACTACTGAGCTATAACCACAATCCCTAAACACATATTCCTAACAGAAATTTCTTAAATAGAAATACTATGGGCTAGTTGAGAGAATATCTTAGTAGTGAAAGACAAAATTAGATTTGCATACTAAATTTAAGCACATAGTACAATGGATTATTTGGAGAGAGTGGATAACAGATATAAGAAGGAGGTAAAAGCATCAGAAAGGTTTAAAAACACATTTTTCAGCATTACAATACAAAAAAATAATTAGTCCACATTAAATTAGTATACTATGTCTTGGATTTCCTTTTCCTATTTAGCATACAGGAACTGTTAGTTATAAATTGAATTCTCCAAAGATTTAAGTATAACTGAAGGAAAATGTACATTCTGCCATAATTGCCAGCATACTTAAATCTTTTATATTTGTACAGCACGTATAAATAAAATACAAACACTACTTTGAAATTCTGGTTTCCCTCTATTCTGCTTCCTATAGAGCAGTCTGTGTTAAAAAGTAAGAGTTTGTTACTGAAAAGCTTGGGGAGATCCTTGGAATTATTAAAGTATTTCACCTGCAGTGTTGTCTGATGACAAATAAAAAGGTTTCTAGAGTCATGGTTTTCAACATTTTAAAAAAAAGTCACAAAACCTGGTAACACTTCAAAAAAATTATGATAATCTGATCAAGTACAAAAATGCAGAGAGTACACATATGGCAAGAAAACAAAACAAAATATGGGTCATAAACATCCATGTCAAAGGGGAACCATTGGTCACAGTAATAGAAACTTCATGGTTTTAAGGTTGTAGATAAAGATTTTAGAATAAGTATACAATTTGAGGGGAAAACAAAAATAAAATGTTGAACAAGGAAAAAATTTTTATCTAATTATCAGATAGCAAACACTTTACTAAACTGCCTTTCAGGTTTTGCCAAGACTGAAAGCTTAATTAGTGCTCTCAGCTAGCAGACCTGACTACCTTTTGGAAAATCATCACACCTTAACACTAAGGCAGAAAAGCTATCAAACAGTATCTGGATCTAGTTTAATGCATATAAGCAATATGAATGAAAATGCATTTTAATAACCCTCGGTGTTTGACCCATTCATTCCCCCAACCAGGACTGTTTCTATAAAGTGAACAGTCAACCTCAATATGTACAAAATAATAGAAAAATAAAGAAAATATTTTAATCTATAAACATATACTATAATAAACATTCTGTTCATAGCATACATGTATCATTCAAATTGCTTGTCTCCAATAAAAATAAAGTGGGCTAAAATTATAGAAATATGAATAATTTGAAGCAGAGATTGTCAATATGAACAGTGAAGAAAAAATTGTTTCTAATACAGCAGACCTATGTATGCAATTTTAAAATGAATTACATTTAGTGTTTAATTGTTTCTGTAAAAAAGATTCATGCTGTCCCTCAGAAGAGGACTGTCTGTCCCCACATAAAATCCATTGTCCATATTTCTGAATTCTGTCCATTACATTTGAAAGAAAGTAATATTTACCACTGGGCATCTCTCCAATTGCTTTAGGACAAAGCAGAGTAATAGGATTCTACTGATCCTATGTTGATAAACACTAAGGCAATTCCTCCCCATAAGTCAAAAATGGATTCTAGAGCCTGAAGTCCAGCATAGTCCACATTTTAAATGTAATGACAGAAACTCCAAAACTAGGCCAAAAGCAATGTTAACATTGTTAAAAGCCCACACATGACTCCAGGCAATTTTCACAATAATATAAAGAAAACCTTCATAAAACTGAATTATTGAGGTTTAATAGGCTTTTGAAAAAAAATATAACTAAATTAGACTCTAGGAAAAGCATTAGAAATAAACGGAAAGAAAAGTAAGTAAAAATTAGAAATTTCTCCCCATTTTTATTTAGAAAATGTAAAATATCTAAGGAACAATCATGTAAGCAATAAAAGCGATTTGGTGTTTTCTTCCCAGTACTAAACTCATGTCCACAAGTTTGTATGTTAAAAGCAGATTTTTAAACAATAACACATTTGGGCCACTTCTTTTCATTACTGATCTTTTTTCTTCTTCATATCTCCTACATATATGTAGCTACTGGAAACTGAAGAGACCATAACATGGTTTTCAGGTGAAGTTCATCCAGCTCAAAGAGAACATAGGTGCTGGTGTAAGTAGGGTCTCCAAGATGCTTGGTACCCAGCAGGAGAGCAATTCTTCATAAGCCTTCGGTCTACCCACACAGGCATTCTCAGGATGCACTCACATGACATTATTTGCCTTACAGTTAAAATCTCTTTAAATTGATGCTGCACATTCATATTCATCTGTATTCTTTAAAAACCAAGTCCCATCATATGGCTGAAAATCACATGCCTAGATTAACACTAAGTCTTTTCTTAAATCTAATCTAATGCTTCTTCTCCCCAATAATATTTATAGCTTCTATTCTATTTTATAAAGTATAAAATTTATACTTTGATAAATTCTCTTCCTATATGTAATTTTTCTATCCTTACACTTCTTCAACAAAACAAAATCAAATCCAAAATACTCCTCTTTAATCTGTTTTCCCCAATGTTTCTCCTTTCCTTGTGCTCATGGCCAATGAGCAGTGCTTCCCAAAACTTTATGGCATGAAGGACAACGCTCATTTGTTTCCCTTTGTTTACTTTAATCCATCATAGACTGACACTTTCATAAAACCCAGTAAGTTGAGTGACTAGGTAAGTTAAATAGCAAAAAACACACACACAGAAAAGAAGACCATAGAAACCACTTTTGAATATCACAGCAAAGTAAAATTATCATAAAAGTTTCTAATCTTCTTATCTTACACTAGACCAATAGCAAGATGGAAACTGGCCTGAGGACTACACTTTAAGGAGCTCTACCCACTGGATTCTATGTTCTTTAGTTATCCTTAGATATTTGCTTCCCACCCCCAATTCTCCCTTAAAATTGCTCTACAGTATCATTGTTTTCCCTAGTCCCTTTGGAAATCTAATCTCACTGTTGTCCATATTAGTCTGAGATCAACTGATTACTTTCTTTTTTGTTAAAAAAACCAAAACTTTCTCCTTGGTCTCTCTGACCCCTCTTTCACCTCTCACATCTCTTTTCTTTCTCAGAATATTAGCTGGCTCCAGCCTTGATAACTTGTTTTTCTTCTCTAGCCACAAAGACTGTATTTTTCTGATTTCGACTATCATCTCTGAAAATCTACCTTGCATCTCTAACCTGAAAGGCTCGCTCACATTTCCTTCTTCCACACAGATAGTACTACTCAAATTCATTACTATTCCAATTTGACCACTTCAAATATTGACCAAAATTTCCTGCACATTCAGATTCTGCAGCAGATATAAATTCAAACAAAACAAAGTCTCTCCTCACCCAGTACCCTGTAGCATGGACTTTTGATTCCAACACAGCTGGTTTTAGACTCAACCTCTGACCTCAAATTCAGTTTCCTTATGTAAATAAAAATCTAGCATATTCTACAATAACTACTTCATGCTGCTAAACTTAAGTGAAATAATGGATGCAGAGTGACCAGCACACAGAAAACACTCCATAAATGTTTTTCTTGCCATTGTTACTAACTACTCCTGCAGTGACTGGTACTTACTTGTATTATGTCACAAATAATTTTTGATAGTTAGCAGTTTGCCTTTACATAGGATTTATGGCAATTTGATAGTCACGCCTAGTCCATATTGCTATCACAATATGCACTAAACCATTAACAGAAGTAAACAATGTCAGGAAATGCTTCAAAATTTATATAGATATAAGTTCAATAAACTTGCAAGCCAGAAGTATACAGTAAGGGGAAAAATAAGGCAAAGTAAAATGCATTTATTTTCCAGCACAGCCACTAATGAGATGCTTGGTGTTGTCAAGTCAATTGAGCTCCCTGTTTCACAGAGAGATTAAGCTTTGTTTTCTCATCTGTAGAGATCCAAATACATGAGCTACATCCTTTCACCTCTTAAATCTTTAAAAGTATAATTGTATTATGTAGAGGTATTATGTAGAGGTATTTTTTTCATGTGAAATATGACAAATTATAGCTATAAAACCATAAAAATAAAAATAAAGTTTAAATGAGAAAAAAAAGTGTAATTGTAATTTTCAATTCCAAATACAAACTATGTGGTGAAACACAGCTTGTAAATATGTCTTTTTGATTCAACAAGCTGTTATAATATTTGAAACAAACACAAATTATCCTGCATATGAAATGAAATACTAAATAAGGATTCAATAAAGACACTATTTCATGAAAAATAGACATTGTATAGAGTTTTCTAGTTAGGCACTTTGCTCATAAAACATACAAAAACGATATAAACTCTAAACTAAAATATTCACCAACTATAATCTATTACCTATTTTTTATATAGAAAGCCTATGTCTGATAACAATAGCTACCAATAAGCACATATACTACTCTTGACAAGAACTATGCTAAGCTCTTTATAATTAACAGCTCACTTATTTCTCACAAAGAAACCTATGAAGTAAGTAACATGTCATTTAAATGGATGAGAAAACTGAGCATCCCAGATTTGACTATTAAAATCACACCAACAAGAGTGGCACCACAACACAATATTAGTCTGCAAGGCTTCTATGTCTAGTTAAGCAATTCAGTAGGTGGCCTGCTATATAGAGTAAAACACATACCTTAACAAAATAATGAAAGGGAAAAAATCAGAAGCTTTAAAAGACAAAACAAAAACTGAACTCCATGGAAAAAAGGAATATGCTCAACAAAACAAGGAACCCACCTTCATGACCTATGACAGATCTGGAAGCTGTCTGAAAGCTAATGATTCCCGCCACATTGTCATTGGCCAAAATGTTCACTCTAACAGTGTCAGAGCTGGGCAAAATTCTACTTCCACCTTCAGTGAACACCAAACTAACTATGATGCTTTCGTCATCCTCTGGCTCGGAATCATCCAAAATGGTTAAAATGGCTGTCTTTTTGGTTTCACCTATAAAAATATTAATGGAATTAAAAGCCAAAGCAACAAAATCACCAACCTAGGGAACTTCAAATTTCAAAAAGTTAAGTAAAAATATGTGAATCAATTATAACAGTTATAATTGGTATTATAAACAATGTTAACATCACTAAAATAAAATACTGTATGTTAACCTATAAAAGTTTTAACATACAAAACACTGGAAAATTTCATTAACGTGGGCATACTGTAGAGAAGGATATTTTCAGTTATGTAAAAGATAATGGGTAGAACAACTTAAAAAGAATCATGCCTTTGCTTTCTGTTTCAGTCAAGAACAATATTCTACCTGGGGAAGAGTTTGAAAGTTCCCTTAAGGACAGTAGCACGTCATTCTCAGTCTGGCATTATTGTGAATAATTTTCATCAGATATTCAACCCAAAGCCTCCCTGAACGTGTAGGAGCATGAAGGGAATGGTGGTCAAAATGGAGAACAGAAAAGGGATGACAAACTGTGAGCAAAATAATCAGCCTTAGTGTGATGAGTCTTTGGGTAACTAGATGAAACAGCATCAAGTACCAGCTTCCAGGACACCAGACAACAAATCGAAGAGGCAGAAAAGGAAGTCTAAGAAGAGGCAAGAAAGACACAAGGACCAAGCAATCTACTTTGCTGTTTTATGTAGGACCCCACTACTATTCCTAGTAGTTAACCACTGAACATCCCTAACCCCAATACTACTTCTTCTGTTCAGTCTACAGGTTCCTATTTAGTTCCTCCCCACTTTTTGGAAAGAGGATAAAAGGGTGAAAAAAAGAAAGGGGGGAAAAAGGAGAAAGGAGCTTAATATATGTACTCTCTCTCCTGACCCTGGTGCATTTTCATAATACAACAGTGTCAAGACTGCTTTGAGAGTACATATTATCTGTTTTGTGTTTGTGTGGGGAGACAGATGCTGGGGATTAAACTCAAGGCCTTGTGCAGAGTACATATTATTAATAATCTAGGTTAGCCATAAAATATAGTTCATTTTGTGTGATGCTAAAGTTGCAATTCAAGGTAACAATAATTTATATCATACTATCTCTTTATATGGTAACTTTATTTGTAGTATCAAAGCCACTAGGAAATCTAACTTTAAGTTTTTATCTCTACTCCCTCTTCATTACACTTTCATTTTTTCCCTTTGAAACAAGGATAAATGTTATCAATCTCCATCACAACTCCATCTATCAAGCACAACATATTCCAATATTCTACTTTTCCACAAATCTCTTAACAGAAAATAATACTATAGAAATCTTTTCTAGTATTTTAAAAACTTCTTCTCAAACATAATGCTTATTAGATATTTCAAGTAGCATGACACCTAATTAGTTCCCCAAAAAACTGTATGTATTGAAAAGTTAAACAACAGATACAATGGATTGCTCTAAAATACAGAATTATTAATAATGCCAATTTCCTTCATTTTCTTACATATAAGGTTCTAATGAATATACATTACTTTTCAATCAGAAAAACACTACGTTAAAAAATTATGGAATCTGTAATTGCTCAAATCAGAATTTAAGTAATGATTTCAGTAAGAATAACTATACCATGGCCAATTAAACTATTTTAATCACATGAAATTTTCCAATTTTAAATAACAAATGATTCAACTAGTCCTGAAAAAGACTGACCACAATGTATAAAATACTTCTGAAAATTTTCAATAGTGATCTTGTCCAAATCTAAGAATACTATATAAGTTAATATATCATTAAGATTAATTTAATATGAATGCAGTCACCAACTTGATACTAGTTTTTACTTAAGAATTATTTCAGTTGAAGATTTATCCTGATTTGTCTCCTGTGTATGAAAGTGCTCACCAGTCAATATGTAATTTCCTAGGTAGTGCTGCTTGTTACCCACATATTTGGTTGCAGGTATATGACTCATTCTGTTACTTCCCTTATAAAATTAGAACCAGACTTACAGTTGCCTCTGTTTCTTTAAAGGCACTACTCTCTTCCAGAAAGGGATAAAATCCACACATTACATTCCCTAAACATCTTCTCTTTTTAAAAAAAAACTGAAAATATACACATGTAGGATTATATCAACCTATATATATATATGTCATATATATATATATATGTTCAGATATATATGAACGTTAACATAAAAAATTGATTATGATGACTTTACTAGGTAAAAAGGAGAAGCATTTAGAACCAAGACTCACCTTCAGCAAAAGTCAGAGTGTCTCCAGCACCTATAAAATCTGAACCTTCAGTAGCTGTTCCTCCAACAACATGCCATTTGACTGTCACCTGACCTAAGCTGCCTCCTGTCCTGTGGATCACCAGCTCCACCCAGGTTTGTGGCTGTTCCTGGACTTCAACAAATAGGCCATCTTCTGAGGTATTGGGACTAGAACTGTAAATCATAAACACTCCAAAGGCATCACCGTTTAATGCTATGACAACTGTAGATGTATTTGGCTGTCCTATAGTTGGCTGATTTTTAAAACTGGCTGAGATGTTCATAAGGTGAACTTCAAGAAGAGAAATTAGGAAGCTCTCATCCATCTCTGGAAGATCATCAGGAAGAATAGAAACCGTGAGATTTGCGAATTCATCACCTTCCAACATGATGGCCCATTGCCTTGTCACAGGCTCATAGTCACTACCAGCCACAGCCTGACCACTAAAAAGAGAAGCTACCCTGGTCATGTTTTTCCTGTAGGTCCAGAAGTCGGAACTGTTAACAGTTAGGCTGACCCACGATGTCATCCAAAAACATTGGGGACCCTCAGAAGTACTGAAAAATGAAAATGCTGAGCAAGCATGTTCTTTGAGGCACAAAGTGGCACAGGTATACTGAGGTTCCCCCACTGCCGAGACGTTCACCCAAGTTCTCCAAAGCGGGTCAGGGACTCCTTGAGTTGGCGATTCATAGTAGGACAGTAAATCTTGACCTTCCTCAACTGCAAGAGGCACTACATCAATATCAGAAGTACTGTAGAACAGCAACAGCCGACCAAAGTGCCCTCCGCTAAGCGGTGGAGGACGAAAAGTAAAAGACAGGTTAAGCACTCAAAGTACTTTGTGGGTTGCACATAGAGAAGAGCAATGGTGACCACGGTTTTCACTTTTTTAATGTTTACTACAAACACACACAACTACATCCCTTAATTACATTTGTCTTTCCACTAATTATGTTTTCTCATGGAAGGAAACCTTCCTAGTTTTCAGTCCCATAATGCCTATTTTTAATCAAACTATGAAAATATTTTGCAAGGTATGCAAATGGCATCCATTTCAGAATTTCTAAATGGATTTACAAAATTATTTTTTATTGCTAGATTTCACTGAAACAAAGTAACAATAACAACAGCACGAGTACATTTAGAGGAAATTAATTTCTTGCCACAAGATCCCTCCAACCTATGTATTCTCTTTCAGAGAAATCTCAGTGCTACCTCATAAAACAAACATGGGATACATAGAAACTAAAAATCAACCCCTTCACAAAGCATCCAAGTTTTCTTTTATTTACAAGCTAATTGTACTTAAGTTCTAATAACAGATGACAGATCAAATCACTAAATTACTAAGGTTAGAAGCACAGTAGTGTGCTATCTTATCCATTTCACTAATTTAGTGATAAATGAGTCTATCAACAGTTATTCTTCAATTAACACATATAATAAGGAATAAAATAAGTTGCAATATAGAAAAACCATCAAACCTAAATTATTTAATTGTAAAAAGTTCATTCCCCACCACCCACAACTCCCACAACTCCCACAGATGCAAGCAGCCGTATCATATATACCTTCGCCTGACAGTTATGGTAGCACAGGAACTTCTTTCCAGAGGCTCTTGAACACGATAAACCGACTGAACAAAGGCTACTGTACCGTAAGGATTATCATTGGCAGGAATGATAACATTTGCCACTCGGTATGACCCAATAGTGCCTCCACCAGAGGCATATGTTAGTTGTACTTGGATAACCTAAAAATACAGTGAAAAGTTCCTTAACAGCACCCGAGTTCTGAAATTAGAATAAGAATGATGCAGGGGGGAAAAAAATCAAACATATCTATATAAGTGTAAGAACAAAATGGAATAATATATAAATGGACTAAAAGAAACTCCCCCAATTGCATTTACAAACCCAGTACATAACAGGAAAATCTATTACCAACTTTTAAAAATAGAGCATGATTATAAGTAAGAAATACAGGCTATTTAAATTTCTTTATTTGAGTTTTTATTTGTCATACATTAATGAGAGGATTCCATTGTGATAATTCCATACATGCTTACAGTGTACCTTAAACAAGTTCATCCCTCCATTATAGTCCCATTTCCCTCTCCCTCTTCCCCCTCTTTCAAACAGCGTTTGGTGGGTTTCATTAAGCTGTCTTCATATGTGTATATATAGTGCACTCACGTGAAAAAATTTTACGATATCTGTTTAGCATTGCAATAATATGACTTTTTGCCTTAAACTTTTTTATTTAGGGAAAATATAATATACACATTTTAATGAAAAGTTATGTTTTATTTCCCACATTAAGTGGAACTTCTCTGACAAAACTGGAAAAAAATCATATTGGATGGGCAACCAGTGGCTTATGCCTGCAATCCTAGCTACTTGAGAGGTTGAGATCAGGAGGATTGTGGTTTGAGGCCAGCCTGGGCAAATAGTCTGCAAGACCCCATCTCCAAAATAACCACTGCAAAATGGACTGAAGGCATGGCTCAAATGGTAGAGCACCTGCTTTGCAAGTGTGAAGCCCTGAGTTCAAACTCTGGTCCCATAAAAAAAAAGAAAAAAGAGGCAAATACCATATTATAATGCTACCTAAATTTACAAAGAAAGAAAAATGTTTTGTATGCATTAGTATCTAATATTTTAGAAGTAAATAATGATATAATTAACATCCAAAAGAAATTTTAAAGGCTTCTATAAAAAGGTGATACTATTAAATATTAAATGCTATTAAGAGGATTTTTATGAGCTCTAGGCTTTGAAAATACTTGAATTTCATAAAATAAAATTATTTTCAGCCAAGATGTTAGCACTGAGACTCCATTTTTCTTTACCATATTGCTTCTTCATTGTGAAAAATAAAAATCAGAAAAATATATCTAGCATGTTTGTCATACAGTAAATTCTCAATGGCTGAAGAACAAATGAATGAATGACTGGAAAATAAAAATCTACATTTGATAAAAATTCACTCACACTCAAGTCAAAAGGGAGCATGGATATAAATTAAAAGTTTATATGAGAGTTAGAGAGGGTGAATATGATCAAAGTATATTCTATGCATGTATGGAAATATCACAGTGAAGCCCCCTACATGTACAATTAATATGCACTAATAAACGTGGAAAAAAATTTGAGATGAAACAAATGTAGCAAAAATTATGGTAGATGTAAATACATTTTATCACTTAATCAATTGCACAAAAAAACTTATACTGGTAAACTAGCATATATATACAATCTATTTTTAGAACATCCCTGCTTTTTTGTTTGTAAGGATCACTTTAACACTAGCATTGGACATTCTTACACAAATAATTTATATTCCATCCTCTCTAACATATCACACCAGCAGTCATCTATTCTAGTGACTAAGACAAGGCACAATTTACAGTGTCATTCTATACTAGCCAGTCCTCTCACCTCTTCGATCTCCGGAACGTCGTCAGCCAGGACCTCTAACAACAAGGTTTGAATGGTTTCCCCAGGGGCAAAGGTCACATTACCTGAGACAACTCGCAGGTCGCCAGTAGCAAGCTGTCCATTAATGGTGGCAACCCACTGAACAGTAACATTGCAGAGTGTCCCAGAATTTCGAATGATTGGCAGGTTTACCTTCACTGAGTTAAACTCAGGTTCCTCTACAATAAGTTTAGTAATCTGAAAACCTGAAGGGCAGACATAGAAGAATTCATTTCAAATACAAAGTGAAAGTGACTATGTCACTAATCAAGTACTCTGTAATAATGGATTCTTTCTCCTCATATGTAATATAAGTAGCTACAGCCCATAAAATCAGACTAGCATTTGGTGACATAACTTAAACAGGTCTCCCAAAATTTCCAAAGTGTTCTTCATTCTGATAAAAACAGAAATCATAAACTCAGATGTCCAAAGGGGTCAGGTATGTGTCAGATATGAGTTAACTCAATCCACTGAGCACTGTGGCTAACTGAGGGCCACCTGGTCATAGGAGTAGCTGCTATTTTGTTCCCATGGCTAATACTGTGAAGACAAGTGGTGGGCCTTGAAGTTTCCAGATTTTCCTATTTATCCAGAAATCTAGATCTTAGTGGAAATTTCTGCAAATTAAACTTATTTTTCAAAGAATTACCTAAAACTCACAAAACACATCTTGGAGCCAGAACTGACACAAAGACAATGGTTTGTGATTTCCATCTCTATGCTAAGCGGTAATTTATTTTAGTTTTTTAGTAGTCACTGATGTCTACCAGTAACTCTACATAGGTGTCCTATGTATCAGTAATAGCATATTAAAAAAAAAGAATACCTGATCAAATCAACTCTTATATATGACTTATAACAGACAAGAAAAAACACAAACTAGTCAATTACCGAATAATCCATAGGGGTCATCAGAAGCCTCAATAATAATCAGTGCTTCAGTTAAAGCCCCTAGTTTGGCTCCTCCTGTTGTTTCATTTAGCAGTTGCACAAGAAAAGATTCTTCAAGCTCAGGGTAAATGTCATTAATGATATATATTGGCACAGCTTTACTGGTTTCTCCTTCTAGCAAGACCACATCTGATGAAGCAATACTATAATCTTCACCTGAAAGGACAAAAAGCACAATAATAAGGTGTATTCCAAAATATGTGACCCAAGTCCAACCTCATTGCTGCATTTGCCCTAGATCTAAAGTCTGCATATGAGGGAGAACATACAATTTTTGGTCTTCTGAGCCTGGCTAACCTCACTCACAATGATGTTCTCCAATTCCATCCATTTACTTGAGAATAATAATATTTCATTCTTCTTCATGACTGAGTAAAATTCCATTGTGTATAAATACCACATTTTCTTGATCCATTCATCAGTAGTGGGACATCTTGGTCGTTTCCATAACTTGGCTATTGTCAATAGTGCTGCAATAAACATGGGTGTGCAGGTGCCTCTGGAGTAACCTGTGTTGCATTCCTTTGGGTATATCCCCAGGAGTGGGATTGCTGGATCATGTGGCAGATCTATGTTTAGATTTTTAAGAAGCCTCCAAATTTTTTTCCAGAGTGTCACATGACAAGGGGAGAGCACATGCGAGAGGTATGGGGATAGGTAGGAGACCCAAAACATGAAAGTGTTTGATGTCCCCACTGCAGAGAAGCTAATACAGAAACCTTAAAGCAACAGAGGTCAATATGGGAAGGGGATCAGGAACTAGTGAAAAGGTCAGGTAGAGATGAATCAACTTGGTATGTAACATATTTGTACATGGAAGCAATGCTAGGAATCTTTCTGTATAGCTATCTTTATCTCAACTAGCAAAAACACTTTGTCTTTCTTATTATTGCTTATGTCTTCCCTTCAACAAAATTAGTGATAAGGGCAGAACAGGTTCCGTCTAGAAGTAAGGGGGAGTGGGGAAAGGGAGGGGATGGGGAGCAGTGGGGAGAAATGGCCCAAACAATGTATTCACACGTGAATAAATGAACAAAAAATTTTTTAAAAAATAAAAGATTTTGTCCACCAAAAACAAACAAAAAAAAGATTTTTAATTTCTCAAACTAGTAAAACATGGGTTTAGTAATATCACAAGATAATGGAAGAGATTTTCTAAGGGTGTTCGAATCCATTCCTTCTCTTATAGAAAAATGTGCACACGTTTTGAGAAAGAGAGAGACAGAGAGAAGAGAGGAGAGAGACTCATTACCACAAGATAGATCCTTCTCTTATTTACAAGGAAGATATGTAAATACTTTTAGAACAAAGAACAGTACTAGAATTCTACTAAAGAAATAAACTATTCTATTGCACAGATATGGCACACAAGTATCAGTGACTTTGTCAGTCAAAGACACATGCCCTTCTAAAACCCTTCACTGCTCCTTAGATAGCTTTTCTTACCAGCTATTGCAGTTATTGGCACAGCTTTAAACTTTACAGAAACATCTGCAAATGCTCCTCCTGTTCTAGTCACGTTAATAATGGGTCCAACATGATTTTCTGCTACTCGAACAAGTGAAGCTGAGAGCTGAAGAATTCCAAATGCATCATCATTTGCAATAATAATTAAATGAGCAATAGTTTCTATCTTGGGCCCAAGGCGTGGAGAATTTGGAACTGAAAGAAGAAAAGATGATACATCAAAATTCTAAGGATTGGCTAAAAGTCCTCAAGAAGCCTCAGCAGGATTCCATAACTCAACAGGGATCTTCACTCTCCCTGCTGTTTACATTTTAAAAGATTTACATATGTATATGTACTAGCATTAATGTAGACATTGGAGATGCAAAAATAAATTAAGTAGGGAACCGCTTGATCTATTGTGGCTTATGTGCTAAGAATATTTTTATCATAATATCCTTAGCAAAGGAACAGTTATCTTACAGGAATATTTTAATAAGTAATTTATCAAAAGGGAAAAATGATTCAAGTAAAATAAATCATCCATTTATATAATAACAGATAATACTGAGCCTACAGAATTATGATTTGCTAATTAGTTGACCACTGTTCCATTTAAAAAAATAGCATTCAAGTTACAAAATAGAGAAAGAAAGTAATTTAATTCACAGAGCTCAAAGACCAGCTGGAACAACTATCACCCTACTGTGTAGGATGACAAGAACTCATCTCCCCTATTTAACTGTACCTGGGTACCTGTAATCTAACCTTTTTTTCTCCTCCTTCCCCCCACCCCCACCTTTCCTAGCCTTTAGTTAATCACTATTCTACTCTCTCCTTTGAAATAATAGTTTTAGTTTCCACATATGAATAAGAACATGTAGTATCTTGTGCCTGGCTTATTTAACTTACAATAACGTCCTCTACTTTCATCTATTTTCTCACAAATAACAGGATTTCATTCTGGCATAGCTAAGTAATATTCCATTGAATATGCATACCACATTTTCTTTAGTCATCTTTGTGTGTGTGTGTGTGTGTGTGTGTGTGTGTGTGTGTGCATGTGTGTATGAAAGATTCTACAAATGATTTATTAAAGGCAAAAAAAATTAAAGAAATTACATAAGGCCTTATAGTAATACCTGTCAGATGCAATCATGAGGCATACAACAAGGATTTGTCTTATGTCCTGCATATCTTGCATATCTACAACTCCTCACCAAAGCAGGTGTAAAACCTTCAGATATCCATGAGTGAGCATCCTGCCCTGCACCCTCACCCAGGGCTGATACTGGTCTTCTTTCCACACTGCTCTCTTCATTCATTGATGCTGATGATACTAAGCTTAGGGAAGGAAAGATCCTATCTGTCTCTACACTGATTTCTTCTATTAAAATCTGAGTCACTATCATACAGATCTGCACTTAATTGTTCTTTATTTATCCTACATCATAGATGTTCTGAAATCCCCCAAGTATGTTGCATGGTTCCAAGAACAAATCAAACATAAAATACAGGGTGATTCTTTCTCCCATCAAGCAAATATATACTCTGCATGTACCACTTTATTGCTAATAATTGCTCATAATTATTAAGTGCAAACTATGTGCCAGGCACACAGCAATTTTTTCACATATCATATTTAATCCCCATAATACAGTTATATTATGAATAAGGAAAATGGGGCTTAAAGATTATGTTCAACAGCTTATTACTATGTATTAGAACATGTTAATCTGACCCCAATATGCACAGCAATTAGCCACTGCCATACACAATACTCACCCTTGATTTTATTTCTATTTCAATAAATTGTGAGTTCCCAGAAAATCAGACTTGTTTTATAATTCTTATGAAAATTAATTATTGAGTTTTATTTTTGTTCCTTTACTGCTATAACTGATCCTAAATCTCATTTTAAAAGTAGGGAATAGTTTGTGAAAATTTTTAACCTTGGCTGTAATCAAAAGATTTGTTAGCAAATGCAAATTTCTATCTATTACCCTGGTCTACCTGAGTTGCAATTGTCACTGTGAAACGTCCTATATAATATACTCACCCAGATCTTACAGTAAGGTAAAACTTATTGTGAGAAGCCTTACCCATATGGTAGAACACAGTCAATATGGAATCTTACATTTTAAGCTACATAATTCCACAAATTTTCACAATTCCTTACTGTTACAAAGCCTTGTCCCCCTCCTCTCACAAAGAACAAAATTGGGGTATCTTTTACAAGTGAATCAAAGTAAGAGGTTCAGGCTCTTAAAACTAGGACTATCTATGGATTCCCCAGACTGATTCTAGAATATTTTGAAACTACTCTACATATTACAATAGTACTAGAGGTCAGTTAAACATGGATTGCATAGAACCTTCTAAAGTTTACTCTGGGAATGTAATTGGTTTTTAAAAAATAATTTTTCAGAGCCAGGAATGATGATTTACATCTGTAATCACAGATACTGAAAGGCATATGATAGGAGGTTAACAATCCAAGGCTGGCCCTGGGCAAAAGTAGTAAACTCCTGAAAACTAAGTAAAAATAAAAAAAAATAAATAGAATAAAAAGGTGGGCGGCATTGTTCGAGTGGTAGAGCACTTCTGCTGAACATGTGTGAATCCCTAAATTCAAATCCCAGTATCATTAAAAAGAAGATAATTTCTAATTAAAAATGTGTCCCACTTTAAGTTGCCTCACAGATAAGCTTGTACAAGGTAATTCTTTCAAAATTAGTGCTTATTATTTTATAGAATTTTCTATTATGAATTTTTCTAAATTTATCATTTTAAGATTCTTATCTCCAAAAACACTAATGGATACTTACTTGGGCGATTCTGTACTTTCTCTATTAAAGTGGAATTCAATAGTTCAATGAACACAGATTCAGACCTTTCTGGGTCATCATCATCCAAAACTGAAATAGTTATTGCTGCTTCAGTCTGATTGGCTGTGAAAAGAGCAAACCCAGATGCTGATATGTAGTCTCTTCCTTGAGATGCTCTGGCTAAATTAGGTGGAAAAAAAGGTGGTTTTTCCATATCATCTAGTGTTGAATATGAGACTATGACTTTTCCCATGAGGCCTTTCAACCTTATTATTGATAATGTGATATTCTGTGTTGCTTCTTCAACTTTAATAGGTCTATTTTTCTCAGAAAAAATGAATACCCCATAAGGATCATCATTAGCCAAAACTGTTAATGTGGCATTAGTAAGAATGCCCAAAGAACCATCGGAGACATTGAGGATTGACACAGAGAATGCCTTATCCAGTTCCGGAATGTCGTCTGGTAATATTTCCACCATAATATGGGCCACCATCTGTCCAATCTCAAAGGTGACGTTGCCAGAGGTGAAGGCGAGATCCCCCTCAGGGTCAGAGTCTATGTTCCAATGCAAAGTCACTTGAGACAGAGCGCCGTGACTCCTCATAATCTATAAAATATTGAATATGAAAATGTTTCAAAAGAGAAATTAAAACCATTGACTTATAGGTTTTGAGTACATAACAGTAGAATAATAAAATTTCAATTTTATTTTATATAAGTTCTAAAGGCTAAAGAGTTTGAAAGCAGGAGCTATACACTACCCATCCCTGAAGACCCTCAGGGAGTCTTGCACATGGAGTACATGTGAAAATTGATTGTTGCATGAAACCACAGATAGATGGAAAATTTTTAGCTTCTAACTAAATTGTAGGAATATCTTATGAGCAGTTATATATATATCAGTAATGAATCAAATAATTAATGATATTATATTACGAATACTCATGAAAATGTTTACATTTACAGCAAAAAGTGGTGTATAATGTAAAGTGGTGTATAATGTAATTATAAAGAATAGATAAGTGATTTTTTTCTGAAAAGTTAGCAAAAGAACTTTTTTTAAATCATATTTTCTTTTATATTCACATAACACAACAAACACACCAAAAACATATTTGTCGCAAAGTATAATAAAATACATTTAAGAAGAAATGCTCTTGCCAACATTTTAAGAATGGAAAGCTTTAAAACTGGACCCAACTTATTATTCCCAAGAACAATATTTGTACTTAAAATATGATTGTCAACTCAAAATTAAATGAAACAGTAATTTTATAAATTTTATTAAAATGTTTCCTTTTCCTTAATTCTTTTTCTTTCCTAAGTGGTTATTCTTTCTAAAGTTGTTCAGTTAATTCCACAACAGTTTACTGAAGGTCTTCCATAATAGTAGAGAAGGATATACGTGAATGATTGTTCTTCATTGTTTGTATAAAAGCTGAGCAAGCGGACAAAGCTTCTAACTCCTGTGAGTCCCTGAACAATAGAATCCTGAGTTTCTGCTGGAACAAAGCAAAGTAGACATACACAGACTATATAGAGTTATTCTTCTTGCTATTTACAAATATTTTGGATTTTCTGTCCTTTTGGGAGAGAGACAGAATAGGACTACACTTCACCCACTTTGAGACATAGCCAAGTAACCTGTTTTGAGCATGGAAGTCTAAGAGGAAATGATGTAAATTACTTCCAGAAAGAAGCTCCAAGAGCCAGTGCGCAGTTAACACTCACATTCCTCCCACCTTCATCTTTTGTAAGGATAAAAACACCTGTTGAGATGTAGCATCCATAGCTTTTGATTGATGATCAGGCCCCTTGACAACTTAGGCTGGACATATACCATGAGTGAAAAATTAATTTTGGTCATACTAAGCCACTGAGATCTGGAGATGTTTGTTAATATAGCCTATATGAACTAATGCAAAAATCTATGCAAGATAAATACTTATAGTACAGCTCCATTATATTCCTTTAAAAAATATATTCCTGACCCTTTGAATTCACATGCAAAATTAAACACAAAGATAAATTCCAAATCACTATTCACTTACCAGTTTATACTGTCTGTGTCTATAGGCTCATTTCTTCCACTTACACAAAAAAAGAAAATACAAACATACCTTCATTATGCAAAACAACATTTTAAAGGATAAAAAGTATCTAGGCATGGAGGGGGAAAGGTACTCACATTTAATGTAACAGTGCTGTACCCATCTTGTGGTTCAGTTCCATTAACAAAGAGCGACTCAGGACTAAACTCAAACACACCATGAGCGTGGTCAGAGGCTGCAATTGTCACTAGAATCTGGGACGCCACTCCTAGACTGGCTGCATGAACAAGTCCCCACAAATAGTGAACAAAATGTTAATCAGTAATCTATAGAGTGTAAGAAAAGTCAACAAACAACTTTTTGAAAAGAGACATTTCATTCATTGAGTACATTCTAATTTGTTTCAGAAAGAAAGGCAGACACAAATGGTTGCCACATATATTCATGCTTTCATGACCTCTCTCTGCTTTAGCATCAATGTGATCTCCAAGTGCTGCAGAAGCACTTGGAGATGAATAAGGAAAATTTGTTTTTCTTTTGCCTTCTCTCTGAAAGAGAACATTCTTCTATAACATAGTATATGAGGAAGGTCTCCCATGACCTTCGCTGACCTCAAGAGAACGTAAGCTAAAACGACTCTTACCTTGAGAAACAGTGGTTTCCCTAAGATTTTAGTCAACCTGACTGAACAAATTCATGGTTTTCAATGTACTTAACTCTAAGCCTATTTTTCGCATCATATAATTGAATATTTATCTCTCCTGAATGCAAATACACCAATCCCATAACTAAAAAGATGCTAAGATCCAAAGCAGCATTTGTTGAAGATAATAAATGTGCTTTCTTTTATGCTGTATTAATGTCTACAGACAAGAAAATAAACAATCCGAAAAGGCATAGTTATATACAGAGGTTACATGATTGAAGTCAGGATAAGAGAGGAGGAAGCATGAGTTCTAACAATAAAATATAAAGCCTGACATTAGGAAAAGGAACATTTGAGGATTAGCAAATGCTCTCCTTTGAAAGATAACTATTCTAAATATTCTCTTCATGTATGAAAACAATATTTGAGTAAAAAAGCTGAATCATGTTTGCATATGAATCCACTTCAAAAGGCATCCTGTTTTCAATATTCCTCCACTGACAGGCAACTTGTTCTCCCCATTTATGTTCTTCCTAATTTGTTTTGATTAAATAAAGACTCATGGATCTTTATTGTACAGAAAATAAATGTGATAGATTTAACCTGAAAATATGAATGTTCAGGGTTGGGGATGTGATGCAAGTGGTAGAGCACCTGCCTAGCAAACACAAGGCCTGAGTTCAAAATCCCAGTGTAATCACCAAAAAGAAGGAAATAATGAAAATACAATTATTCCATTCATCTCTTTTTAGGTATTCAAACATATAAAATGTATTTTGACAACCATTTTTACAAGTGGAATTCAAGCAAAATCCTACCAGATCAAAACTGAGAGATTGCATTAGGTGCATAAAGAGAAAAGAGCCTGGGAATCATAGGCAGAGAAAAGAGGCAATTCCGACTCCATCACTTTCTAGCTGGGTAACTATAACTTAAAGCAAATAGACTGGCTGTGATGGTTAATGAAATAAATATATTATAGGACCTATACATAACAGATGTCAGCAAAGGGTTAGTACTGTTATCCCTGAAAACAAAAAGTTAAAATAAAACCATACACTAGTAAAGGATCTTGGAACACCTGCTTACCACGTTTGTGAACAGTTGGAAGGAAGAATTCCACGTCCCCATCTCCACTACCACTGCCATCAGCCCTAATGAGTTCAGGCACTTCACAAGGAGGCACACAGAGACACAACCCACACAGCACACATGGACACAATGAGAAAATTAAGAGAACTTAAATGGTATCAAGCAGAGAGGAAATGCAGTAACATTCAACCAATTACATGCATTCTTCTACAAAGAACAGATCATTTTGAATAATAATACATAACACCAGTCAAGCCACCAAATTCCAAAACTTCATTCATAGATTAGGAAATACTTTGTGTAAACTGAAATTGGTATTTCCTATTTCCAACAATTTAAATAACTTTATTTTTAAATTTTCACCTATTTGCAGTAGTGTAAATTATTTTCCAACAATGAGAACATTTAAAAACTATCTGTATACATATAAGATATACACTTATGCTTATATGCCTGTGACAGTCACCTTACCATTCACAACCAATTCAAAATGAAAGAAATATGTCTAATATTTCCCCCACACATGAATTCAAACCACACGACATTTACCATTCTCAAACTTGACCACCCCTTGTCACTGACATTGTGGAAAGAATCCTAAATAACTTCTTGGTATCTCAACTTTCTTACCTACAAAGCATGCTGCCTTTTATAGAAATGTTATAAACATAAAATCAAATAATGAAAGGTAAGTATATATTATAAAGTACAATGTGCCCTGGCTATAAATAAAGATTATACTAAATACAAAGGAGTTATACATCTAATATAGCATATACTCCAACCATAATTTCATCAAATGTTTACAAACAAAGGAGATAGAAAAGTGGTGATGACAGCAATGAAAGACCAGAGTAAGAAAATGGGGGAGAGGAAAAGCAGAGTGACAGGGATAAACATAATAAAAGTACATTATATATATGTATGAAAATAGCATAATGAAACCCACAAGAACTGTTAAAAAGGAGTGGGGAGGAGAGAGAAGAGGGTTAATCTGATTAAGTACATTATATGCATGCATGTGAATATCACAATGCAATTCCAATGTACAAATAATTTGTGCAAATAAAAAATAAGAAAATAAAAGCCAAATATGTACTTTACCAGTATCTGTGATTGGCAAGCTAGAGTAAGGTCTGACCTACTCTTTATTTTTTCCCTCAATAGGACTGTGATATACTAGACATGAGAATTTGTGACACATAGGACTTAAATTCATCTTAGAAACCCAAGAAACAAAATGGGATTTCTAGCAACAAATCAGTACAAAGCTTTGCTCCCATATTATCTAAAAGTAATGAGAAAGAGGTGTACAGTTCAATACCATACATGCTTTGGCTAGCATAAACATCTACTAATGTAGTTACTACCTTATAGAGAATCAACATTAGAGACAAAAAAATATTCAAAAGAATCTAGCTCTGCAAGTTATTTCACACATTAGACCATCCCTTAGCATGATACAGGACTGAAGGTTGTTTTCCGGATTCCTTTTCCTCCAATCCCAACTCACTGGCAAAAAATCTACACTTTCTGCCACTATTGCTTATGGCAAGAGTTCAAATAAGAATTAGTGCCTAATTATTACATAACAATGCATATTCTAGAGATGTGAGGAAAAGTTTCTACCTAAAATCACAAGTATCACTATCATTACAAATATCATCTCAAGAATATTTGACATTAAGAGTTGGGGGTATAGCTCTGGGGTGAAGCATTGGCCTAGCATGGACAAGGTCCTGGGTTTGATCCCCATCATGCAAGAAAGAATATTTGATGTTCCATTATTGATCAATAGTGGGTAATGGTTTTGACAACATTTTCTCTTTCTATTACATAAGTATTTTAGCTGTAAGTGGCTTACAGTGCACTTTTTCAACTATTTTATAGTAACCTTTTCATTAGTTTAAGACCTGATATGAAAATAACGGTTTGGAGATATTAGGACTTGACTCTGGAGGACAAGCAAAGCTGGTTACTTTACATGCCACCTGCCAAAACCGGTCATCTGGCACATTTTTCCTGCTTTATGCATTCACCAAGCTGAGATACTGTTTGCTTAATCCTTCTCCTGCCCCCAAGCACTGTCTCCATCTCCTTTGCCTTCACCTGAGCTTTGGGAACACAGTGAAGTGAAATTCACTGAATCCTACATTTTCACTTTGTACAAAACAAAATTTTAATATATTTGTATTACCCAACCTCTCTCTTTAGATGGTTATACTACTATGACTCTATTCATCAAAATAGTGTAGATGAGAATGGTAATGAAGTAATAATGCAAAGTTTTGTAATGAAAGGGTCTGTCCTGGTGAATATCATATCAACTCTCAGTTGCCTATACTGACAAAGGTAATGCAGAACACACTACATATTAATACTTCTGAAAAAACATGAGTAGTTCATGTAAATGGATGAATATTACAAATAACCTCACTTTAATACAGAACAGTTTTTCCATGTAATGAATTTTAATGATAATCAGAGCTTCCTGACTGTCAGAATTGAGGATAAAGTATTGTTGACCTATGTATCGATAATCACCTCACAAAGATTATATTTACCTAAAAGAAAGAGTTCCTATCTGTGTTGTATCTAAAGATTGTTCTACTGGAGCTACTATGAAAATTCAAAAAGAAGGAAAGGAAATGTGGTTTTAGGGGCAACTAGACTGAATGACAACTATAATTTCATGATTTAGTACAATTGTCTACATCATTCTAAAAGTACATTTATTTTAGGAAAAGATCTATGGATAATAAAAGGGAAACAAACAACACTAGATGGTATCTATAATAAAAAAAATTACTGAAAATTAATAAAACCTAACATAAAATTAAGAGTTCAATATTAATTTATAAAACTAATACTCAAAATTTATGTAGTGAGAAGGGAACTTTCTTTTTATCAAGAAAAATAATCAGAATTATCTGCCATAAGTTGCAAGCAATTATTAACCTTGAAGCTGCTGTCTCCAGAAACTATTATATAGTTCATTTATACACAAAATGTGTAAGACTAATTCAAAGGAATCTTTGAATTAACAGAATCTCCTTCTAACTCATAGTAGATGGACAAACAAATATTTGATATTTTTGAATTACCAGTCTTACCTCCTCCTTCCAAGTTTAACAATTCAACTTTAAAAGATTTTTCCAGTTCAGGGATAGAATTATCAGTGATATTGACAAAAATGTACTTATATCTTTCTCCTGGTTGAAATTCTAATGTGCCAGCAACGCTCTGAAATGCAAATGAAAGATTTATCTGTTAGACTATAATTATTCTATATATGAAACTACAAAATAATAATGATTGCTATATATAAATTTGTTACAAATACTGAAACAGAACATACTTAAAAGAAAAATTAAAAACACTTCAGTATGAATTCTAAGTATACTTTCTTTTTTATTTTCTTGTGCTAGGGATCAAATTTGGGGCCTTATGCATGCTAAGCAAACACTCTTAACACAGAGTTACACCCATAGCCCCTAAAAATATATATTTTTCAACTAAATAAAGTAGAAGAATATCTATTTTTCATAATTGGTGATTCATTGAAAAAGCAGTCATGGCAAATGAGAAATCTTGATGGGTGATATCCACAGATTCTTGCAGAATTAGTTCAATGAGATGAAAGGAATCTCTTGATCAAGTATATTTAGAACTACTGAAATTATATAATTAAGAAGTTTAACTACTCAGTGTACAATAATAAAGGTATTTTTTACTCTAGAGTGTCTTCAAGTAGTAACACAGCTCAGTCTATTTGGCATTCATCTTTCCTGGATTATACTTGAAACTGGGATTCAGAACTTGGATCTCCCTTCTGAAAAGTTCACATACTCAAGAAAAACAATTATCCCAAATCAAAGTCTTAAGTCTCTTTCTTCCATTATTTCACATAAGCATTTCCCTCTCAAGTTAGGAGAATAAATTTTAGAGTTGTTTATATTTTTAAAGTATTATTTTGTGTGAGCAATTGTATTTCATCTTGTAGAGCTATTTAATCATCTTAAAGCTGAATTGAGGAAGTAAAGTACCAATTCACTTGAGCTCTCAGTTTTTCACTTTTTCAACATTTATCAAACATGTAGTATGTGTGTGACACCATTTTAGAGGCTTGAGATTCAAAAATAGCTAAGCCTAATCTTTGACTGTGTGAAGAACATTCTAGCAAGAGTATTGAACACTAATAAAAGTAATTGAAACAGAATAATAATTGCTATAAAAGGCATGTAGATAGCTCAGTGAGGAAGTGATTAACTTTGCCTAGTGTTTGGTAGTCAGTGAGGTAATTCTACATGGGTTTTTGTGTATGTGTGGTACTAGGAGTTGAACTCAGGGCTTTGAGCTTGCACCCTATCACTTGAGCCATCCAGCGGCCCATTTCTACAAGTTTTAACAAGAGAACTGACATTAGAACGTCTTAGGAAACTTTCTTGCTTGAACTCAACAATATCTTACACGCTCGGTCACTTTTCTGGAACATAATCTTCTCTGATTTTCCTTCTACTTCCTACCCATCCTTTTCAGTGTTTATTACCAATTTTAACATTTTCCTTACAACCTTTAAAAATTATTGTTCATCAGATTCTCTCCAGACTTTCTGTCTAGACAAGCTTGTAAGACTCCAGTTTTTCATATCATGTATGAGTTCAGGCGTAGGCAATAACTTTCTAAATAGGACTTTAAAGGCTTAGCAATGAAGAGAAAGGGAGGAGAAATGGTGCTGCATCAAACTGGAAAGCTCTGCACAGCAAAGGAAACAGTCACGAGATTTAACAGACATCATATAGAAAAGGAGAAAAACTTTGCCACCTAGCTATTCATCTGATAAGGAACTAATAATCAGAATGTACAGGCTGTTTAAAAAAAACTAAACTCCCAAAGAATCAACAACCCAATGAAGAAATGAACACATGAACTGAATAAGCAATTTCCAAAGGAAGAGATACAAATGGCCAATAATACATTAAGAAGTGTTAAACCTCCCTGGCCATAAAAGAAATGAAAATCAAAACTACACTGAGGTTTCATCTTCAAGAACACAAGCAACAGCAAATGTTGGTGAGAATGCAGCAAAACACTGTTGTTATATGCTATTGGTGGGAATGTAAATTAGTGCAGCCCCTATAGAAGTCAGTATCGAGATTCCTTTAAAAACTAAAGACAGAACCATACAATCCAACTATTCCTGGGCATTATTTTCCAGAAAGAATGTAAGTCAGGATGCAATAGAAGCACTGCACAACTATATTTACTGCACAACTGTTCACAATAGCCAAGCTATGGAAACAGACCAGATGTCCGACAACTGATGAATGGATTAAGAAAATGTGGTATATGTAGACAATGGAGTAGTACCCAGCCATAAAGAAGAATGAAATTATGTTACAAGTAAATGGACAGAATTAGAGGATATCATGTTAAATGAAATAAGGTTCAGAAAGACAAAGGCCACATTTTCTCTCGTACATGGAAGATAAGTTTCAAAAAATAAACATATACACAAAAACAAACATGATCATATACACATTTATATAGAGAACATGTTTGTAATAGTGGAACTACTCTATGGAACTTGGGGAAGGAAGGAAAGGAAAAGAGAATGATAGAGATTTGTGAAATACATTGCTTCTGTGTAGGTAGATAACCTAACAATATGTACTAAAAGGGTTGAACAACAGGGAGTGGGAGGGGAAGAGGAAGGGAGAGAAACAGAGGGGGTTGAAGTGATCAAAGTACAGTATATTCACAGCCGAGATACATTGAGAAACCCCTTTGAACACTAACTGTAGAATGAAAAATGAAGGACAGGACTGTAAATGTGTTGAGGGGGGAGTACTTAGGGGAAAAGAGAGGGTGAACAGAAGAGATGACGGAGGGCAAATATGGTCAATGTACTTTGTACATATATATGAAATAGAACAATGAAACCTTTTGCAATTGCTTTATGTGGGGCAGGGAGGGGGATAAGGGAAAGAGATGGTGGTGGCTAACCTAACTAATGTTCATCGTAAGCATATTCAGAAATGTCACAATGAATTCCCCCTGTACAATTAATGTATACCAATAAAAATGAAAAACTATACCATGTTTGTGCTCTCATACCTCTAACCTTTATACCCAGACTTAATATTTGAAATTTTTCTCATAATTTCTGCTGGAGTCTCACATCTGTGATCTTCTCTTTAAAACCATGACTTATCCAATTCTCCTGAATTGTGTAGTGTCACTTATGCCATGAACTGGACGATCATTCATGATGCCTTTTATGCTTTATCTTTCAGACTAAATGACACTGAAGTCCTGCTATTTTAACTCTGAAATATGTCTGGAGCACATCCATTTCTTTTCATCTACATTGTCACCAGCCTAGTTCAAGAAACCATCCTACTTGCCTTGCTCTGCAAAACAGACCCCTACTCTTCTTTCTGTATTCCAATATCTGTACCATCTAACCCATTCTCCACAGTTACTAGTGAGCTTTTGCAAATTCATAACATCTTTGCATTATTTCTCTTGATTTATATATATATAGCATGATTTTATATGTGTATATATAACATGATTTCAGCCTTGAATGATCCAGTCTTTGCATATCTTATCTTTTATCAAACACCTAGCTCTCCACATTGCAGAAATACTGACCTCCCTGTGGTTCCTCTTACAACTTGTGCTTCCCCCAGCTCTAATACCTCTCCTTACAGCATTTTACTAGTCTCAAGTAGCTCTTCCTCCTACTCCTTCTTAAACTTCACAGCTCAGCATAAAGCCAAGAAAGCCTATCTTGAACCCAACTCATGTCAACACACACCACTCTCTCAGGTAACAAACCCAGAATGCTTCCCATAACTGTAACTCAGAAATTAACTAGTTGTTTAATATCACTGAGCCACCATACACACCTGGAAGGTGGGGATCACCTGTCACTGGTATATAAAAATAAGATTAAAAACCAAGAAACCTGAAATTCCCTCCCCCTCACTTATGCGCATTCATAGCCTACGGAATCTTAACTATTGTGCTAACAGACAGCAGAGAGAGTTGAAGCATCATAAGAAGTAGTGAAGGCAAAAGTTATCAGATTATCAAGATAAGCAAAGGTAATAATTCAAAGTGATAATAGATAACAACCAGGACATGTAAGCATCTGGAAATTTTCAGAAATCTCTTCAGGGATATTAGCGTTCTGGTAGTCATGAAAGATGGGAGCACAGGTTTTGGCTTTGTTTTATTATTAAAGAAAATGATAATCAAATGAAAATTGGGGATATTCAGGCTGCTTGGAAATTTAAGAGGATTAATGTGAGGACGAAATTATTTCTCTAAGAGAATGCCAAGAACACAATAAACCAAGAAAAGATGTTTTATGTAATATGTTATACAGTAACCTAGTTAAAGATACTTTTAATAAATGTCAAGGGCAAAAACATACATGTAACTTGCCTAAGAAAAAGTCTGAGGAAGAACAAACCTGAGAGAATTTTCTAGTTGGACTATAGTTAAAAGTAATTGATGTCACTGGATGAGTGGCACAAGCAGTAGAGCACCTGCTTGGAAAGTGTTGGGCTCTGAGTTAAAATCCACCAAAAAAAAAAAAGTAATTGAATTCAACTAGCCAAGGCTTCTGAGACTTGGGGTGAGGGGGGTATACACGTTACGGAACACTGTACCTATGTGTGAGTCTTTCTAGGAGAAAGGGAAGAAACAAGAAAACTAACATTAAGTTTAAAGAAAAAGTTGATGTCCAGTGGCTCACACCTGCAATCCCAGCTACTCAAGAGGCAGAGATTGGGAAGATCAAGGTTCAAAGCCAACTGGGACAAAAAAAAAGCTAGCAAGACCCCATGGTCAACAAACAAGCCCCTTGTAGTGGAACGCACCTCTAATCCCAGCTAAGTGGGAGGCATAAGCAAGATGATTACATTCTGAGGCTGGCCTGGCCAAAACACATGAGACTCTGCCTAAAAAAATAATTAAAACGCTAAAGATCTAGAGGTGTGGCTCAAGTGGCAGAGTGCCTGCCTCACAAGCACAAGACCCTAAGTTCAAATCCTAGTACCACCCAAAAAATAGAAAAAGATTCTTTGAGCAAACAGAAATACTGAAGGATATAAAATCTGTCTTGAGAAGGATTACCAAGAAATTATTGGCGTTTGCTTAACAAGACGATTGGCAACAATAAAAACAGGTAGTGGCTATTGAGTGTTACTATCTACGTGTCATGTATACCACCACACACGTAAGATGCTGCCATTCATCTTCAGAGTAACCCTGCCCAGCAGATATATCTCACTTTCACAGATAATGAAATGGAAGTTGGGGAGGTTAATTAGAGGTCAGATTAATCCCTAGTTCTGTCCAGTTCTAAATCTCCAGCTTTTGTGTGCCACACTCAAATACCACATTGCTTCTCAGCTGAAGGAAAATGAACTAAAATTGAAAAGACATGAACACATAATTTCTTTAAAATTTGATTTTGTCTGAAGGCCAAAAATAAGAGGATCCAAAATATTTAAAAACCAATCTAATAATTTCCCTTTTTGTGGGGGGTAGAGGGGGGGAGTTTGAACCCAGGGCCTCATACTTGCTAGGCAGGCCATGAGCCACTCACCCAGCCCAAGAAATATAATTTTAAATCTATCTGATCAAAGTCTGCAACATTAAGACAAATTATGCAAAAGAAGCCTATAGCAAGTGGTGACTTTGCAATTGTCAAGTTTCAATGCAATAAAGCATCTTAATTTACATATATTTAAAAGGCCAAAAGCCATCAGTGCTTATTTTCCTTGTTTGGTGCAAGTCCCTTCCAATCCTCTAAGAGAAAGAGTGTGTTCATTTTAAAGATGCACATGCAGCTTCAAAAGGCTTATGATGTACCTGATAGTCCTCTGGACTAAATGCTGTCAAGGACACGGTTCTAAATTGTGCAGTCACTCTCCCCAGTAGTCCTTGTGCACGGACAACCAGGAATCTGACCTCTCCGTCCTCTTCCTGCACGGTGACATGTGGAATGCTGCTGGCAGGCAGGCTCATTACGTCCTCAGGCTGGGGAGGCAGCCCTGTGGAAAACTGCAGCAAGCCTGGTGAGGACAAAGAAAGCAGGGCGTTCTTCCTCCAAAGCTCTGTGGGAGATTTCTAACTCATCCAAAGAAATCCTGTACAACCATTTCATCACCAATCTAAAATTCTGAGGCCTTCATGTAGCCACATTTTAGGGAAGATTTAATAAGCATGCTTTTTACATGGAGTATGACTAAAAGCCTTCAAAATGTTAAAAGTTAAACTGTTAACTCTCCTTGTCTTTACTCAAAGAAAGCTTTTTGTTCTACATTGAAATCAATAAAAGGAACAGCTTTAAAATAACATATTTCCAAAGATGGGTGTGGTGATATGCACCTATAATTCTAGCACTTGGGAGGCTGAGGCAGGAGGAAGGCGATTTGGAGGCCAGCCTGGGAAACACATACACACAAACATTTAGTCATGTTTGACTAGGGTCTCTGGGTTTCCTGAACTCATGCTACAACAGGATTAAAGGCACCCTGAAGGACTTGCAACAGTTTTGTTTTTTTTTTCAGTTCAACTATGAAAATCAGAGTTGAAGAGTCACTCAATTCCCCTCCCAGACTTTATACCAGATGCGCCTGCTTTATTCCCACACATGCAATATCAGTTGTTTACAAAAAAATCCCAATTTAATAGGATAGGCATCTATAATAGTTCCTCAATTAAGAAAATTATCACTTTTCAGCATAAAAAATACAAATAAATTAATATAAATGGACAGCAATAGTGTCACTGCTTGAAGCCTAATAAAATATAAATTACAAAGAACTTTGATGACTTAGATGTTAACCCACCACCATAGCGTAATTTTTCTAATTATAAGAATTTTGATAGCCATACATAAAAGTACTTTTATTCTCATTTTAAATAATCCTGCAAAAGACTTTGAGAAATTGATTTTGAAATTTTTTCTATAAACGATGCCCATTAAAATGGTAGCTTAGAAGTTAAAGAGCTTAGGAGTTAGAGGATTTCAACTTCAATTCATTTTCAGAAAGTCCTTTAAGAAGTCCTAAATAAAAGCAAGTCCACCTGGAGGAGAGAGAATTATTCCTGAAATGGTGGGTTACCATTGGGATGATCGCTAGCTTTCACTGTGATATCTGTCGTTTCCTTTTCAGGATCTATGCTTGCACCACTGGTGGGAGTTGAACCTAGTTTCCCATCTCCAGGAATTGCAGAAACCAGAGTCACCCGAAAATATTCATTAAGCTCAGGAATATCATCGTCAAGAACATAAATATTCAGAACCTGTAAATGTGAATCCAGAGACAGTAAGTATGAGGCATATGGTAACTACTTACCAGGGAAAACAGCCAATTAACTTATGCTTAATTGAAGTTACAATTTAACATGACTATTTCTACACAAACTCACACTTTAAGGCATACATGAATATGTATATATATACACACACACATACACACACATATATACATATATATTTATGTACATACAATGAAAAAGACATCTGAGGAAATACATTCCTTAATAATGAGTGCTGCTATCAAATAATTTACTTGATGTTTTAATTCAACCAAAGATTAGTAAGACTGTTTTATGGACTGTTTTCAGACTAGTATTGGAGAAATTTTATTATAAACTAACTCATTTCCTTCTTCCACCAAATTACAGAGAATTGATCACTCTTTCTTAGCTTTAATTCTTTAAATCTTAAGAATATTTTAAACTTTCTCCCAACTTTATTTTTTCATCCAGTTAGCTCCTAAGTTCCTCAAAAACTTGTTATGTATCCCTCATGACCTACAGGCTATTTATACTTTAATGCAAAATTTATACTGATATGAATTTTCCAATATGATAAACTGAAAGATAAGTTCTGAATGAGGACGAAGTTTCATCCCAATTTCACCTCCAGGAGTGTCACTTATCTATAGAGCACTTATTCAGCAATGAGACTATGGTTCATGGAAAGAGTTTTTGAAACTGGAAGTCACTGTGGTCTTCAAAGACAGAAAAAAGGACCTCATTTCTCCAAACTTAATGCAAATAAAATGAGATTATAGTTATAAGAATTTCTCATTGGCTGACTGGAAGAGTATCATTAAAAATTGTAAAGTTTCTAGCCAAGCAAGGTGATATATACCTGTAATCATAGCACTTGGGAGGCAGAGACAGGCATATCATGAGTTCAAGTCAGCCTGGGCTACATAGTAAAACCCTGTCTCAAAAAAATGTTTATAAGGTTTCTCACTGTGTCAATAATAACAAAAAAAAACTTAATGATATACCCTCAAGCTGTATTATTTGTATTATATTGAGGTTAAAGATCAGATATAACTGTAACACAAATGATTCAAAATTCTTGATTTTTCTTTTGCAAAAACACTAAAATATTTTATACCATGATATACATATAACCTCCAAAATAGTTTAAATTGCTTAAATAGCAAGAAGCTGCAAAGAAATTATAGAACAAACACATCAGGAAAAGCTTTCTAGGATGCTTTCAAAGAAACAAAGAAGACAGAGTTTACCTCAGACCTCTGCCAAGGAAGGAATGTAATCGTCCCACTGGCATTAGCAAAGTCATCAACAAGGTAATTAATGTCATCAGATTCAACCTGGGAGATGATGTAAGAAACATGCACATAATCCAAGGCTCCCCTGGTTCTCTCCACCACACAGGAAATGGTGGATCCCTCCTCCGCAATCTGCAACAGAGCATAAATTACTGGTAGGTACAAACTTGTCTAAAACCAGTGATAAAATTACAGTGCTTTTCTAAAATCCTACTCTTCATAAACCTTTTCTGTAACTCTTCACTTCTCTAAAAAGGACAAGGAGGCTTCTACATTCCCTAAAATATAGTTTTGATCATTAAATGTATTTGCAATAATTTGTTTTCTCCCACTCCTTCATAGGAATGAATAAAAGCAAAAACCAATCATAATCTCTTTTTTTTTTTGAAGGGCTGAGAAAGATTTGTTACTGCACTGGCCTGTCACACATCACACACCATGGGAAGAGACAAAGTAAGCAGTCAGACCATCTTCAGCCATCTCCATGTGCCAGGCATGAGCTTTAGCTCTAAAGAGACAGAGTCAGGTCAGGGGACAAAAGGTGCATGTAGTTAGACTGTCCCAGCCACAGGTGTAGCCTGGTTGGTCACTATCTCAGTCCTTGTTCTGGGAGTCGTCATCCAGAGTCATGTCGCCTAGCATGTGGTCCATCCTGAGGAGGCTCTACTGTTCCTTAAGGGATAGGCTCTGTCCCTTGTCATAAGGATATTATCAGTTGTGTCTTGCCATAAACATGTTGTCAGTCTGTCTTCCCTGTAATCTAACAATCATAATCATTTAAGCATATATGCAGTTCATTCATTCATTGACATCTGTCTATCATCTAGCCACAGGCTAGATGCAATAGTTTAAAAAACAAAGATCTTTCTCTGGTTAAGTGTTAATCCAAAGAGGAAGACAAAACTTGTAATGTCACAATGGATTCAGTACAGAAAGAATACATTATGTATATATATACACGTATATATATTTTATATATATATGTATATATATATACAGGTAATAAACACATATATATGTTTCAAGAGGATAATAATAGAGATAAAAATACAAATCTTAATACATACATTCATTCTCTATTTTTCTTTATTTTTGTTTTGGTAGTACTGGGGTTTGAAGTCAGGGCCTTGTGTTTGCAAGTTCTCCTCTATTTGAACTACTCCTTCAGTCCTTTTTGCTTTTAGTTTATTTTTCAGAAAGGGTCTCCTACTTTTTGCCCGGGAACAGCGTCAAACCACAATCCTCCTACCTCAGCCTCCTGCCTCACTGGAATTAAAGCTGTACACCACCATGCTCAGCTTGTTTTTTGAGATAGGATCATGCTAACTTTTCCCCTGGCTACCCTTGAACTGTGATCCTCCAATATCTACCTTCCACATGCCTGCAATTAAAGGCATGGGCCACTGTACTCTGCCTCTTTTTCATATGAGTTATTAACATCTCCAATTGCCATTAGAGTCACTTTGATGATGACATTAGGACTACAGAAAACATTTTTGGAGCTTGTTTATAGGTAGGCAATAGTCAAAACCCAGTTATCAGTGAGCATGGAATCTCCAGATATTTCAACAAGTCCTCTGAGTGTCACTGAGCAGCTGCAACCCTAGTGCCTCTGTGACATGCAGCAGGCTGTGCGTGAGCACACCTGGGGCAATGCTGTGACTTCTTTATGGTCCCCTGGCATGAGGAGGCTAAAACAACCAAGTAGTGGCTCAGTGGAGCCCTCAGTGTATCTCCTGGCAGGCATGTTCCACCCAAGCCCCACAGCCAGAGCTAGAATGTCTAATACAGTGGACTCTAAGGTGTGGAAGCAGGAAAGAGATTCAAGCACTGAGTCACCAGTTAGGCTGGGCACCTGTGGCTCGCTCCTGTAATCCTAGCAGAGACCAGGAGGTTCATAGTTCAAAACCAACCCAGGGGGAGTAGTTTGCAAGACCCTATCTCAAAAATATCCAACACAAAAAAAACGCTGGCAGTGTAATGCAAGTAGCAGAGTGCTCACCTAGCAAGTGTAAAGCCGAGTTCAAGCACTAGTCCAGCAATTAAAAAAAAAAAAAAAGGAAGTCACAGAGCTAGGGGCTAATCTCCCTTCTATAAGGACACATAAGCTTGCTTCCTGAGCTTATGTGTTCCATTATTGGGGACACTAAACCAGCTATCAGTCACTGAATTCACATATGGCATCCTGGGGGACAAGACCTCAACCCTAAAAGAAGCTGTCCCTGAGCTGGCAACTTGGCTGAGTATTTAACAGGCCATTCAATTGTAGTAGAAAAATGACTTCAGGTGAGATGGTGTATGGACAGTCAGTGAATGCTATGTATGACTGTAGCTCAGGGACCCAAGTGGCTCAAGAGCACATTCTTTTAAGCCTTTGGATGATGGTGCCGGCAGAGGTTCTGGAAGGTAAATCCATTAGCTAAGGGAAGTACTAATTCCAATAGGAAGGAGTCGCTGGCCTCCCTTGAAAGAAAAGGTCTGATTGGGATCAATCCACCACTCCATGGTTCACTGGAACATGCTCAGCTTCTCTCTGCTGCTTGCTGTTTGGAGCTGCAGCAGCAGCAGGCACTAGATGAGTCTGAGTGAGAGGGAGCTCACGCTCTAACTGCCATGTGTAACCTCCAGTCCTGCCATCATGCTGTAAATGGACTATGGTGGCAGAGGAGACTCCAGCCCACACACAGCAACGTGACTTCCTAGTGAGGAGAGCTTCTTACGAAAGCCCCCTCATGCTCAGTGCTGACTCCCAGTGTCTTCCCCAAACATCCTGGTCTTTACTTGCCCTGATTCTTCCAAGTCCCTGGCCAATTGGCTATACCATTAGCACTGGCAGGAGTGTACATACCTTCAACCTTGAGGTCATTTCTCCCTCACATAACATGAATCATCACATAAGCTGTTCATAGCTCTATTCTGTCCTTCAGAGACTGCTGAACACAGCAGTAGAGAGGAAGCACCCCACTTTCAGCAAGTGCCAACTCATCAAGCCACATCACCTGTGAAACAGACTTCAAGTTTCCTCCTCTATCAGTTTGTCATAGGTTTTGGGAAAGATCAGAGTTTACTTTTAAATGAATTCAATTTGAAATACCTATTTAATATATGTAAGAATGGTGTCAAGTTGACAGCTGGAGAGATGAACCAGATTCTACAGAGAGGCCAGGACTGATGTCATAAACTTGAGAATAATTACATAAATGGTATTTATAGCATGGTGCATGATGTATAATTACACAAATAATAATTAAAGACTAGGTAAGGCAACAAAGTAAGTACAGATGAACAGGACTGTGTGCATTCAATTCTATAACAGCCGTTTTGAAATCATGAAATTGTTCCTACATGGTTGATATATTTGGGAACAATCTGAATACTACATGAGTTTTGCATTTGTTCCTAAGACACAAGATGAACACAGGAAACTGTACACACATAAAATAAGCCACATAGGAACACACATCCCTCAAATATCAACCAGTTGACTCAGTTCAACACGTGTGTTACTAGTCACGCTTCTCTGTCACAACTTTTCTTCTGGCTTTAGATAATCTTCCTTCCAGGGCTCCACAATAACACACAAGCTACAATCTCATGGTGGAAGGTTTTACAAGTAAACATAAGGTCTTTTTTGAGACAATATGCCACAGTTACTATAGTATTAAACATTTAATGTGAGTAATGCTTTTTAAATTAGATCCCTTCTTTCTTTTCAAGTGTCACTGACCAAATTTTTTTAGTAGTGTTCTCCTAAGCCTGTCTTTTCCATGAATTCAGTGTTTCTCACTATGATTTGGCACAGCATAATGACTTCTAAGGCATCCTCTATTATGCTATGGTGAAACTGACTGTTCTGTAGGTGGGCCCTTCAACCTTAAGTGGTTGAAGAAAACAGAAGAAGACAGCAAACGTCCCAGGTGCTCAATACAGCATCCAATTTAATTTCCACTCAGGGCTGTACAGCAGTATTTTTATGCTGGCAAAACATAACCGATAAAATGTGTGGCGAAAAGCATGTGACTTGAAGGTCAGAGTCCTGCGCAGCTTCACCCTACACTTACCAAGCTCCCTCAGTCTCTTCTGAAAGGGAATATCATATTGTCTTCTAGATGTTGGTGGAGACAAAACAAGTGCCAAGATGGGCATAGTAGTGCATGCTCTTAATCCAAGAATTGTCACAGGTTCAAGGCTAGCCTGGGCTACAAAATAAGTTTGAAACCAACCTGGGTTATAAAGCAAGACCCTGTCACAAAAACAAAACAAAAAAACCCAAAAGTGCCATATACAGTATCTAGTAATATATTAAATGCTAACAATATTAATAGTCTTTCTCAAAAATACATACATAATGACAAAAATGTCACATAAAAATATTACCGTACTTATAAAAATGGATATGCACTGAGCATGATGGTACATGCCTATAATCTCAGTTACTCAGGGAAACAGACATAAGATAATTGAAGTCAAAGGCCAGCCAGGGCAAAAGTGAGAGTCCCTGACTGAAAAACAAACTAAAAGCAGAAGGATTGGGGGTGTGGCTCCAGTGAGGCCCTGAGTTCAATCCCCAGTACCACCAAAGAGGAAGAGAAAGAAAGAGATAAATAAACACTGAATGAGCAAACTGATTTTAATGTGTTTTAATTTTCATCACAATGCAATTGATTTGCTCCATTTTCTACCCTAGATTCTAATGAGAATGAAAAAATTTAAGTTAAATTAATAAACTATTGATCTACAAATGTAAATATTCAACCACCAGAGACATGGATTAAGTAGAACCAAAGGTGTATTCAGAAATGTGTAATTCCTTACGGAGTTAAACTCTTACCAAGTCAGAGACCATGGCCATAAGTCATCTGGGACTGAAAGAGGAGAGTTCTACTTGCAAGAGACACACTACACTTTTCTTGAGACAAGGTCTCTATGTAGCCCACATTGGACTCAAGCTCACGATCCTCCTGCCCCAGCTTCCTGAGTGCTTGGATTAAAGCAGTGCACCACTATGCCTGGCTTCAAACTACACTCTCAATTAGTAAAATATTCATCAAAATCTTTAGCTTCCTGAACGTTTTCAGTTTAAAAAAAACAAAATTCACTATTCAAGTGTGTGAAGATGTAAGCTGTATATA